ATTGTCCTGCTGAAACGAGCAGGGACGTCCCTGAAAAAGAAATTGTCTAGATGGCAGCATATATTGCTCCAAAATGTGTACATATCCTCAGTATGAATGGTGCCTCTGCAGATGTGCAAGTTACCCATGCCACTGGCACTAACACCTCAGATACCAAGGCAGACGCTGACTTTTGAACTTTACACTGGTAATGACTGAGATGGTCGTTTTCCTCTTTTGCTTGGAGAACACAGCATCAATTATTTCCATAAACAATTTGAAAAATTGACTAATTAGACCAAAACACGTTTTCATCTCAAATGAGCTTTAGCCCAGAAAAGTCAGAGAAGTTTCTGGATGTTATTTGTGGATGCAGCGACATACTAGGTTTTTGATAAGAGTTTTCTGAAGTATTCTCAAGCACATGCTGTTATATTCATTACAGAAACTTGTTTGTCTTTTAATGCGGTGCCTTCAGAGGGATCGAAGGTCGCAGGCATTCATACTTGTTTTGGGCCTTGCCCTTTACAGATTTCCCCCGGATTCCCCAAATCTTTGAGTTATGTTATGGACTGTAAAGGGTAAAATATATAAATTGCTTGCAATTGAGCATTGAGAAACGTTTTATGGATAGCAGGATAGCAGTTATGATCATTCCACAAGCTTCCTTGTCTTACGTCATCATCTCCCAACTTTTTGGAATATCTGGCAGGCATCAAATTTGGAATTACCATATATTTACAAAAAAGCATTGTGCTGTTTTCAATCAAATATCCTTTAAAAAGTTTACAAATCACTGCTTTTTTATTTGCATCTATCTATCTATCTATCTATCTATCTATCTATCTATCTATATATCTGTGCTTGCTTGTGGCTAAATCTTTAGATTGGGACACTATAAAGCACAACATTTGTTTCAAATATTGTACTTTTATAGTATTGAATAATATAATAAAGTGAATTTATTAACAGGAGGCGCAATTTCAGCCACTCCTTATTTAGACTGCATTTTTGCTGCATTTAAAATGTTTTGAATTGAGACACCACCATACTGTATAGTGAGAAAATATGAACCAAAACACCCTTAGTCCATGTAGTCAAAACACTGAGCAAAACAAGCAAACAACCAAAAATCACCAGTGTTGAACTATTTGTTCGGTTATAGGCAGCAAGATCCACTGATTACTTTGTTTTTTAAGCAGGTTAATACACACAACCTCATGATGGTGGGGGACATTTCATGTCCTTCTGTGTGGCAAGCACCACAAAAGACTGTCACATACTGTCCAACACAACACAAAGTGAGGGCTTCTAAGTTCTGTCCACTTTCATAATAAGCATGAAAAAGATGTCTGTATGGGCTTTCAGCCTTCATTTGTAGACTTAGAGACTGTTGGATAATCACTAGAGAGAGAGACATAAACACCCACTGGCTAAACCACACATAGAAAACTAAGAGGAGAAAAAAAAAAACCTCTTTTTTATACTGTCAGTCAGGCACCAGGGGGCTCGGAGCTTCCAACAAGCATCTAAAGAGCCGTCAAATAGCTCACAGAGCAAACAACATATCTGTCGTTCAAAGCCATCAAAGTCCCGACAGTCTCAAACATCAGAATAGCCTAAACACGCAGTGAAGGAATAGAGAGGTTTGTTTCAGCAGGTCCTGGCATGATTCTGAGCTGAAAGAAAGAGTGTGTTGTAATGGACTAAAAGTTTGGGGTGTGAGGTGAAAAGGAGATCTCTGTATTCAGTAGCACTGGTGCGTTTAGCATTCATATGCTAATGTAGGAAACCCAGCCTTGCACACTAACCAGGCACATGATGAACTGCGTACCCTTTTCCACTCTGACAAGCATCTGCTCTGCGCACTCCACAGGAAAACAGCAGAGCCACCTAAAACAAGTAATTCTCTAAACAAGTTCATTCACATGAGGAAACTTTAAAAAGTGGATGACACTTTACTGAAGGACATTGATCTTTAGGACGACACCTACACAAACCTTTAATGTCAACTGAAATAAACTTGTATAGGCATCTAGAAAGGCTTTTTCCAACAGCAGGTGAAATGACATCAAAGTTGACAAAAGCAGGCTTTATGACAAATGACACTTGTTGGAATAGGCCTTTATAAATGTGAATGTGGGTTTATAGCAGTTGTCATGAAAATCTTATGTGGGAGTTATATAACTTACGAATGCTGCCCTTCAATACAGTGTTACGCAGTGGGTAGCGCCATCGCCTCACAGCAAGAAGGGCCTGGGTTCGATTCCCTGGTCGAGTGACTGGGGTCCTTTCTGTGGGGTCCTTTGCATGTTCTCTCTGTGTCTGTGTAGGTTTCCTTCCACAGCCCAAAGACATGCAGTCAAGCCCGCTGGAGATCCTAAACTGCCCCTTGGGTGTGTCTGTCCTGTGATGGATTGGCAAACTGTCCAGGATGTTGCTTGCCGTCCAGCCTAGGTTGAGGGCAGTTTAACCAAAGGTAGAAGATCACTTACTGCTAACTTAGGTTTTATACACATTACCTCAGAGGGAGGTGGATATGTGCTTAGAGATGGGCCTGTGTGGTCAAATCTGTAAACCCATAAACGTATTAACAATGTAGAAATCTAAAAATGTAGGTAGTCTGTTATCATGGAGTTTCAGGCTCCAGTAGATTTGCTGACTGGGTAATCACTCGAGAAAGAGATAATAAACACCCAGTCTTCTCTGCCTGAAATGACAGTTTATGTGATGGATGTCCAGTTAAGGCCAAATGTTTGCACACACCAGGGCTAAAGACACTCAAATTCAATTTTTTTTGTTGAAACTGAAATATGCAGCATTACTGAGGAGAAAAAAAAATATTGCTAAAATATGGTGTGTGGCACTGCTGGCAGTCAGTAAAGCCTGAAATAATAGTTTAAAAGTCAGAGACTCTGGGACAGTTTTACACATTTTCACCAGAAATCCCAAAATCTTACACAATGTTAAGAGTTAATTAGGTGATTTGGCCTTAACTGTAACTCTGCCCTCAGTAAGATTATGTTCTCCCAAAACATAGCATATGTACTTCCTAATGAGATACTTATACAGAATGAATAATAAAGAATAATCTATTGTTTGTATTCTGCCACTCAGTAATTTGCAATCAACATTCAGAAGTTTGGAATCAGGTATATTGTGTGAATATTTCATGATAAATGGCGTTTGTTGCCACACTGCAGTTAGTATTATACTGCAGTACTACTGTCTTTTCTAATTGCTCTATTTATAGTCTATGTCTTTATGACTGTGGCTGTAAACTTAACCTCTGTATATGTTGTACTGAGGTCGTGGAGGAACAGTGTTTCTTCCTACTGTATACGTGCATATGGTTGGGATGGCAACGATATATATGACATTTATATTAAGAAATTTTAGATTTGTCCAGAATGATCATCAGAGCACATACAAAATCTGAGATGTGTTCAAAAATACAAAAAAATACATTTCATTTTTCAAATAAAAAAACTTTATTGTGAGTTTCTGTTTTAGCGGAAAAAGTGCATTTCTACAAACCATTAGAGGTGAGAATAGTGACTATTAATTCAGCCTTCATTATTTTTAATGAAATATATTCTATCATTCCATATCATAGAGATCTAGAACAACTGATAGAAGATTACTTGGTATAAAAGCAACACATACAGAGTTAAATACAGATTAAAATACAGATCAACATTATTTGTTTGCATAGTTATTAATATCATCATTTAAGTAAAACTTAAAATGAGCTCAACTTGGTTAATGAAATTTCAAGGCACAACATTCAAAGCGCTCTCTGTAGCCTAACATCCCGACTTTCAGTCAAAGATATGTGATTAAAAACTGCAATAGTTTTGCAATAAAGCAGGAATGGTGCGTTTCTAATTGAGTACCAGTTGTGGAAAGCGAATGAGTGGATAATGAGCTGCATTAAAATACTTTCATAGAACAGAAATGTACCTTAACAATAATGAATGCGTTTAGTTCTCATATATTTGAGAATATAATAATAAATACATGAAATAATGCAGACGCTGATTGATCCTGGCTGATCCAGCCAAAAAAAAGGCCATTTATCATTACAAACAGCAAAGTTTGACATACTTTAACAGATAAGATGGTTTTATCACTGTGTGCTAATAGTGACCTTTGGAACTGAATGTAATATTTTCTATTTTTTTTTCCTGTGTCAATAGTTTAAGCTCTAAAAGGGATGTAACAGCCATCTTACAAGACAGCACATGCATTTTTATGCGCATAAAAAGCAAACAGAAACATGAAAAGCAACACACAAATGAAAGATGTGCGTGTCTGCAGCCGGAGGCCGATAAACGGCCTCAGAGAAGTACGACAGTTAAAAAGTAACTGTAAGGCCAAAAGATATGAGGCCACTGGTAAATCCATTTAAGGCCACACACAAAAAAACACACACAAACACACACATTCACATGTTTAAACCTCTTCCTCAACCTATATAAGCAATATCAATTTCAGTTGCTTTTTTCCTTTTTGTTAACTTCACAGTAAATCTATGGATCTGTGCGTCGTTTAGCAAGAATAAGACAGCATTTAGAGACCCCCACACCTCCACAGTTCCACCTACTAGAGACTTAGAGTCTCACACTGAGCGCTATAAAGTCCATAAGAGCTAAGCACTTCAAAAGATTTCATTTTTCATGCATACACCAAGGCACCTTGGTTAAAACTTGTTAAAATAAAAATAAAAAGCTACTAATTACAACGACTGTTCTTTAATTAACAGTGTCAGATGATTTTGGCACTACATGGTAAAGGCTGTCTGTTTAACCCTTAGAAGTTGACTCCTAGCTAACTGAAAAAAACGTAATACTGTTAAAATACAGATTCTATACAATACTTTGCCTTTAGATATTTTATGGTTTGAATTTGTGAGAAGTTATTGTAAAGTCTTGTTTTGCAGAAAGAAATATCTTTTACACTTTTGCCAAAGCTTCATTCTAGAGAAACAGTCAGAATGTCAGAATTGTTCACAGTGGTGGTGATCGGAACCAGATGTCTGAAGAGTTTAATGTCTCTAAAAGCTAAATCATTAAGGCAAAATAGTTCCCAAAGAAAACGTATCCCTTTCCCCATTTTACCATTATAAACATTACATACAAAAACTGAGAAAACATGTGTGGTCATTTTAGATACATATTTACACTGCAACCTAACAGGCTGATAGACGATGCCACTGTTCATTGTCAATGGCTGCCGAAAATTGCGATGATGAGACAGCATTGTGATGCTCCACCCTTTCACCATAAGCCTTGCCGCATCACTAATGTCACGCAGAGGTAGTCAGTGTGGAAGAAAACACTGTCTGGCTCATGGGATAGAGCGTGATTTCAGAGCGAGACAGAACACTTGATGCTACGCTTTCTGAAAAGCCGCTTTGCGCTCCAAGCAAAAAAATCATATTTCTCTGCTCCCACTTTGCCTCACTAACAGGCTTTGCCTGCTTTAAATCCAGGGAAAACTATATTGATTACTTACCCAGAGATCTAAACTGATGAACATGTGTCGAGAAAAATAAAGAATACTACCCCCACCCTCCCAACTTAAGCCAGTTAGGCAGACTTCGCCCAACCCTATAACCCACATCTGTGTTGTATGCATCAGACTCCTGGTTCCTATCACCAACACTGTAAAGAAATCTGAGCTTGGAAGTTTCTCTAAAATGAACCATTTCACATCAAACCACCCTGAATGACTGTTTACATCTTAACGATTGAATTTCCCTTTAACGCCTTAACAGTCTTTAATTGTGTAAACACACAAACGAGCAGGGAAAGACACACCGCTGCAGGCCCGTCACGCTCTCTTCAGTCTCCAAAACAAAGAAACGAAGGGACTCTGAATTACTTGGTTACAAAAGGAACAGATGTCCCTTTTTTCAAAAGACAGTTATTAGAGTTACTAGGAGTGTGTAGTGTAGAAAAGCTCTCCCATCACTCAGGAGCACTTCACTCTCAACATGCTTCAAAAAATGAACAAAGAAAAAGTATTTTTGGCCTCAGTTGGCAGACCTGAAACATGTCACATAGTTCAGCGTTTGGTGAAGTAGCACCAGAGAGTGAGAGTGAGCGAGAGAGAGAGAGAAAGAATAGGAGGAGTGAATGAACAGCGCTATCCCAGCAGCACTCTCTGCAGGCGGTCAACTGGCACGGTCTGGTCGTCGTCCGAGTCGGCGTCACTCTGTGGGTTGGAGCTGCAGGGAGAGGTGCATTCTGGGGAACACAGGTACTGCATGAGCGGCAGCCGGTACTTCCCACAGAAATCCACAAACTTGATGTGGCGCACGCACGAGTCGAAGTACACACCTGGAGAGGAGACGATACATTGTGATAGGAGGAAGAGCAGGACACTCTGCTTCCATGAATAATAGAAAAATAACTAAAACTCAGCAAATCATCAAATCCTCTGTGAGCTGAATCTGCTATGTCAGAGCAAAGACAATATAAACAGTACAGTGTTTGCGGTTTTAAAAGCCTGGAACTGGACAGTCTGGATTTAAAGGGAAATTTTAATGGAACCAAAACTCTGGTGTCCTAAGTTTGCTTTTTCAGTTGTCCTGAAGTTTCTGTCTGTTTGTGACATGTTTGGTGTCTGAAGTTTGCTTCTTTAGTTTTGCCCTGGAGTTACAGGGCTAACATAGCTACTAAGTAAAGTAGAGAGATTCGTTTTTCCAGGAATTAATAAGTAAATCAATCCTATTATAGTTCAAGAGAAGTAACAAGAATCCAGAAAGGATTGGGGCCTTGTCATGGAGATGGCAGGGAGGTCCTTGATGGCATGGACCCCTGCAGCAGAAACTGGCTCTTGGCATGCTGAATGTAATCTCACTGGGGGGAAGGAGCCAGAGCTCTGGTGGGAGGTTGAGAGGTACCAACTACATAAAGGTGGGCTTACTTCCATTTACAGAGTCTTCTCTGGAACCAAACCCCTTGATAGCTGGTCCCTCTGCTACTCAGGATACTCACGAGCCCTCAGCTGGCTATCACGCAGTTGGAGTTTGTCCCGGTGGACAAGAGGGTCACCTCAATGCCAATTAAAATCACAGGGAGGAAAACTCTGACTGCTGTGTGTGCTTACGCACCAAACAACAGTATTTGGTCTATAGTCTATATGAGACTACAACGCTATTTGAGGAAAGTGTGTGATGATTTAGGCAGTTTGCACAACGCTCATCACTGGAGTATAACTTTCCATTACTTAGCTATATTAGTCTCGTAGCTCCAGTGAAAACCTAAAGAAGTGAACACAAAACATGTCTTGGCTGATCAACTACATTTGATTTATTTGGCTATTTCTCTTAATCAACTGAGCAACCAAATATTTTTCCTAGTCCCTTGATTTCCTCTAATCCTAATCTCTCTCTGTCTCTCACTTTCTCTGTAATGGGTTTATTCAGCTTGTCTTACCCGCACACTTGGGGTTGGGGCACTTGCTGGCAAGGTCCAGGTAATTGACCAGATGGCCTGGCAGGTCCTGCTCTGAGTAGCGAAGGTTGCGTGTTTTGACGGTACGACCCGCCAACTCCAGCAGCGAAGGGGGGTCATATGTCATGTCCTTGACGAAGCGCACGACCAAAGGGTTGCCACGGAGACTGAGCTCCTGGAGCTGCACTAGGCTGAGGATCTCGCGGGGCAGATAGGTCAGGAGGTTGTTATGGAGACTGAGGGAACGCAGGGAATGAAGCCTGGAGGAGACCGAGAGATTTAGAGAGAGAACGAAAAAGGGATGACAGAATGAGAGGCACAGAAAGAGAGAGCGGAGTAAAATGGGGAAAGAAAACAAAAGGGAGAAAGAGAGAAAATGAAGGGAAAGAGAGAAAGAAAGAAGAACAATAATTTTCAAAACCAAACGTTTTATCAATACTTCTATTGTGCATTTGAGGCTTTTTTTGATAAACAACTATGCTGTTCTGTTCCTCTGTCTGATAATAGCAGCCAAAGCTTGCAAACGGAACAACAGCTGCATATGTCCCATACAGTCAGTGTGGCCTCTCGCTTTTATTGTAGACTCTTGTTACAGTAGAGGGATACTGGAGTGTTCCAACTTTGCTGCTCATTGATTTATCCATAGATCGTTTATTTACTGAACCTAACAAGCCTCCCTTACTGTATTAAAGTATAACATTTATAGCATAAAGCTTATTTGGACAACTGTTTATTGTTACAAATTATATCTTTTACAAATGTTCATATTCTGTAGTTATTTTAAGTCTACTTAGACCTATATACACTATATGGTATACAAAAGTATTGGGACACCTACACATTACACCTACGGGAGATTTTATAACATCCCATTCTAAATATATAGGCATTTATATGGAGTTGGTCCCCCTTTGCAGCTATAACAGCTTCCACTCTTCTGGGAAGCTTTCTACAAGATTTTGGAGAGTGTCTGTGGGAACTTTTTGCCCATTCATCCAGAAGAGCATTTGTGAGGTCAGAGAGATGTTGGACGAGAGGGCCTGGCTCGCAATTTCTGTACTAGCTCATCCCAAAGGTGTTCGACGAGGTTGCGATCAGGGCTCTGTGTGGGTCAAGCCAACCGGTCCTTTACACCACTCTTGTTGCACACTGACTTGTTGCAACAGTGGCATCCTATTACAGCACCACGCTCAAATTAATTGAGCTCTTTAGAACGACCCCTTCTTTCACACGTTTATAAAGACAGACTGCATGGCTAGGTGCTTGATTTTATACACCTGTGGCAATGGGACTGAATGAAATAGCTGAATTCAGTGATTAAGAGGTGTGTCCCAATACTTTTGTCCACCTAGTGTATGTACAGACATTCATACTTTAGACTCTTTGAACTCTCTTTCACATTGGCCCTTTATCACTCTATTCTACTGATCGTATTTTATTTTTATTTATCCCTGAGAGAAGTTGTTTGTTACCAGTATGTGTGCTTGTCTAGTCTAATCAGTATGTTACATGTCATACATGTGTGACTCATCAAGACCAACTCCCTGTATGTGTGACATACTTGTCAAAATAAAGTGATTCTGATTCTTATTTCAGAGTGCTTCACTACGCACAATGGAAAAACTCTGCAAAAGGATGAATTCAGCGCCTTAGTGTGAAGTGTGTGCCGTGGTGGGGTGCGTACCTGGTGAACTGTGGGGGGATGCTCTGGATGCGGTTATCACATAGCACCAGATAGCTGAGGCCAGGCAGGTCGGCCAGCTCCGCCGGAATATCAGAGATTAGATTCCCTCCCAAATACAGCAACTCCAAACTGCAGGCACATAAACAACTTTCTATTAATACTATAAATCACCAACCAACGTGTAACATTATTATACTATAATGGCAGGGTAATAAAAGGATTCAGTAATAAAATGATTCAGTTTGACTAAGATATGATTCTGAATCATTTTTAAAAATTGGACTGAAAGCACTAGTGACACAGGAAGCGGATACAGACAATCAAAAACAATACACCAAGCTTCTTTTAGTGGAAGTGAGTGAACATTTTATTGAATATTACTATAATCAGTTACAATCAATTCTAATGTTTCAAAATCAGTGCAGTTGATTTGTCACCTGTAGACTGATAACATGACAATGAATCACTATTATTTTCCTCCAGTAAAACTGTACTTATTATTAAGAGTGAGGGCTGCAGACCCCACGGTATGACGTTATCATGATATGAGTCTATTGTGATATTTGCAGATTGCAGTGATATGCTAAGTATTGTAATGTGACACAATGTAATATATTAGGATTTTTTTCTTATGGTTGCAAAAACCCTAATCTTTTTATTGAAGCAAAACAAAACTGTAAAATAAATAAATCAGCATTTACATTTACATATTTAGCGGATGCTTTATTTTTTCATTTTTAAATGTATGCTTATATCTGGAGTGATTTATAAAAGGTGAGTGAATGCAATGTTAGAAGTCTCACAAAATGACTCTTGGTTTAATTTAATAGCTTTTATGATTCCTGCCTCAGCAGTGGGCTCAAATCCCTTTCCTCAGAGGGACGAGCATGTTATCTATGACACCAGGGGTCGGCAACATGCAGCTCCGAAGCAACATGTGGCTCTTTTACTGCCCTGTTTTTTTAGGCAAAAATAAAATAATTCTCCTTTGTGGTAAAATAAAGCTCTGCTGATCATTCTAACACAGTTTTAACAATAAATGGTCTTAAATGCTGTAGTTGTATAACTGCATAACTACTAATTCACGGAAGGTTGGCGCATAGACTGCTGGTCACCATAGCAATGCAGATAAAAATCTTGCCTAGCTAGTAGCTAATAAAAAGGCAAAGAGAAAGATTTAAGGCAAACATTGACAATTTACTTATTTGTATTTATAAGCACTCAGCTGGTTTCCTGATACGTTTAATCTGCAACAAGAAACTGTCAAACATTAAAAAGTTGTGAAGCTGAAGTCAGTTTCTTGTTCAAATTGTCCTGTTTCACCTTAAATGGTGCAGCAGTTACATTCTCGTGGAGTGTATTTTGAATTTGAACAAGACGACATTTCACAAGAAAAACTGTTCTACTTTTGAGGAAAAGTTTCCTGCCAGAGATGCGAGAAAAGCAGCTATAGCTGAGCTAAAGCTTAAAGCAGAATAAAGTGAGTCTGCATTATTGTTGGCCTATATACTAGGACATTCGCACATACTGAGACATATTTACAGCCATGACGTTAAAATGGACATATAAATGTTGTGGCTCCTAAGGTGGACTGATTTCTGTTAAAAGGATAAAATGTCTCTTCTTAACATTTGGGTTGGCGACCCCTGGACCACACTATCTGTTCATAAATAGCATTGTACTGACTGAAACCTTGATCTCACCAGGAAAAAAAATGGCACTACCTCGTGGATAAAGACAAGAATGCAATTTGGTAATATTTAGAGGTGGGCAATATGGCAAAAATATAATGACATGACACAAATCATTTACATGATACACAGTGCATATTTCATTTTTGATAAGATAAGTTTAAATGGACAAAAAAGCCAAGCCATAGTTACTATCATATTTATTACATACTATCAAAAACTATAATATAGTGCACTAAATCCAATTAAACAGGACTAACTCTCTAATGCTCTCTTTGTAATGAAACATGCAGTTATTCAGTGTTCTTTAAGCAATGATATTGATGATCTGCTCCAAAAAGCATATTGTGACATCATTTCTCACAATAACAATGAAATATCATCATATTGCCCAGCCCTAGGAATATTAGTGTAAAAATGAGGTTAATACATGGTACAATATTAATCACATTTTAAAACTGATCTTTATGCCACCATGTACTGATACTATTTTTAAAACAAAAACATAATTTTTTTCTCCCAACATATTCTTATTATTAGAATGGCAGGCATAAACAACCAGTAGGTGTCATTATTATAGCAAAAATCAAAATGACACAAAGACAGAGCTGCTCCAGTGATGAGCAACTATATTCTATAGAAGGAGAGTGGAGAAGCTGGGAGGTAGTATAGCTCAGAGATGTGAGGAGATTCCTCCCACTTTAGCTTGTGCATGGGTGGGTGTTTATGAAAGAGAGAGAGTTTGTGGCAACTAAAAGGGTCTCGGTTTTCTCAGAGAGCTCTGATCGTCCATGTTTGCTGCGTCTGTGAGAGATCAGACAAATACACAGAGCAGACAGACATCAGAGAGCTCAGCTTTAAAGCAGCATCATATCACTGCTCATCTCCCTCTGTTTAGTCTGACGTGAAAAATGAGAGAATCGTCAGCAAAAGAGAAAAATGAGGGAGACGAACTTCAAGGGAAAGAGAGAGACTGAATGGGAGAGAGAGAGAGAGAAAGAGAGAGAGAGAGAGAGAGAGAGAGAGAGAGAGAGACTGAATGGGAGAGAGAGAGAGAGAGAGAGGGAGAGACAGAGACAGAGAGAGGTATTTGGGAAGGCAGTGAGAGCTGTGCTGCCGTTTCTACTCCACTGAGCCTGCTGTTTTTCTCTCTGCACTGCCCAAAAGAGCCATTCATTTCTGCTTCAATACCTCATTCTCCTGCCGAGCCAGCATGACCGAACCTCCACAATTACTGCTCCAGATAGTGAGAGGGAAAGCGAGCCAGAGAACGAGCGAGCAAGAAAGAAAGAGGAGAGAGAGGCCCGGCTCCTCTAATGGACCGACCTGGAGTGTAATGTGGGCCAAAAGGGCAGCCATGGGTGTGTGTGAGTGGTTGGCTGTCGGCCCAGTTGGACCTTTTTGACCCGATGTTCCAGCAGAACTCCCTGCTGCATCAGCTGCCCTTACACTGCGGCACTACCCAAACGCTAATGCTGCGGAAGAGAGGGATGGGACATCCCAGTCTGAAAGATCACTATCACAGCCAATCAGGACATATTCTCCTGGACCGTTATCAGCTATGTTAAGTTTAATCCAAATCCGATCCTGCGTTAAGGCTATTTTATCTCAGCTGTGCTCTATTAATGCCACTGTCACAGAGGTGATATAATCAAACTATATCTATAACTTGCAGTGGTGAAACAGTGAAAACAGCCCAACAGCTACTTTACTGTGCAAAAGTCTGAGATCATCTTTCATTTCTCTCATTTCCAGTCAAAACAGCCATTAAATATAAATTATTATTATTATTATTAGTATTATTATTATTATATAAGATTAGAGATATGATCGGTATGTACATGGAAGGGAAAAGTCAAAGGAAAATAAATGAAAAAACAGGACTTCAAAAAGTGATTAAAAGATGTAGAAAAAAACATGATTCCTAACAACCATTCAAGATCTGGCAGAACCCCAAAACTGTCTCCATCAGATAAACAGCACTTAAATCTTCCATCTTTGAGAGAGAAGAGAAAATCAAGCTCCACTCTTGCTTCAGATCTGAAAACATCCACAGGTGTTTCTGTCCATCCTTTCAAATCAAACAAAGAATCTGCTTTGTCTTCAGAAAAATGGAGTCAAGACCTCAACATCACTGAATCTGTTTGGGATTATTTGGATTGTGTGAAGCAGAAAATGCAACCAACTTCTAAGACTGAACTGTGGAGGTGTGGAGAAACATCTCTGCATGTTTCTTTGAAAAACTGAAAGAAAGCCTCCTGAAACGTATTGATGCTGCAGTAAAGATAAAGGGTGGACACAATAAAAACTGAAAAAGTGATATTTTATTTAATTGTTGAAGCTTCTGTGAATTTTTCCGTTGAATATACATTTCCTGCTTTTTTCCTGATGCCAAAAAATAAGTACTTAAGTATATAAGTAACTTGTACTAATAGCTGTTTTGGAAATTAAATAAATGAAGAGCGATCCTGGACTTTATGCACAGTACTGTACTTATAATCTCTGCAACAGTTATGATTTGACTGCAGTTAAACAAAGCACGTTTCATTAAAATGTGGGTGATCTGATCACATGTACAAATTTGTGTAATTAATACACCTTTAGCTCACAGCAATTTAAAGGCTGAAGGCAAGGAGTAGGACTACTTTGCACCTTATTTCTACCTGGAAGTACTGCTTTCACTACCGTGTGTATTGTGGATATGAAAGAAGGATATTCAAATATCATGTGTCATCATAATGAAGTGGATTACTGTAGCATTTTAAAGTAACTTTAAAAATAAAGGTTTTAAACACAAACTTAAGACAACTGTATCTCTAGCCGAAGCATCTGCATTAACAGTAGGATTAAAGGACTAAAGCTGATATGGACTGTGTGAAAGCTCAGGCAACTGTTTTAGCTAGAAACCAGTCCCACTGGCTCGGGGTAACTTGCTGCATTACGTAACTGAGTTAGCTTAGTTACACAGCCAAGTCAGTGAATCTAGCTATTTAGTTCAATGCATCCATTTGACATGGAAGAAAGACAAACAGAGAGAGAGAGAGAGAGAGAGAGAGAGAGAGAGAGAGAGAAGCAGAGGCCCTGCTCATAAGGAACCTGCCAATATAAATTAATTAGCCTTTAGCTTGGAATTGTCTGCATTTTCTCTGCCTGTTAATATTCCGACCCTGCTGAGTGGAGAGCTGAGAAAAGGTGCAGAGTGAAACCAAAAAACTGAACAAACACAACCAACCTCTGCAGAAAAAAGAAGGGTATAAAATGTGGAAGAGTTTGCAGACTTTCAGCTGTAAACTGTTTACTCAGTGGAATGCATCTCTCTCTGAAACCATGTGTGTCTCCTGCACGAGTCAAGCCCTTGAGAAAACAAAGTCTCCAGTAAACTGAAAATGCACTACAACTAGAGATGGCATGATACCATTTTTTTCTTCTGATACTGACTCCGAGTAGTATCGATCGAACTGCTACTTTGTCTTTGAAAATAACAGGGCTTTAAAATAAGCTACTTTTAACTGAAGATTAAATCTAAACTAGGTGACCATCCTGAAACTACAAGCACTGTACTACACTGTACTAATTTTTAAGACATTTTCACAATACATGATATGCATCATGATATTCTGACACACAGACACAGTACACTAGCAGTGCCACACTTGAAAACAGCTAAAAACTCTATAGGCACAGTATTATCTATTGAATAAGTGTACATACCGTACTGCACTAAAACTAAACAAACAGGACTAAGTATATTCTCTTTTTAATGAAACGTTCAGTTGGTCAGTGTTTTTTAAGTACTGATTATATCCACAAGATGTTCAGGAAAGCATAACAGGATTTATCATGAAAACAATAAAATATCATCATACTGCCTACCTCTATGTGTTGGCAAACAAAATATCAAACCAGGTGGCATTTCCTTTAAGCAGGCCATTCGGGGCTTTTCTTTTTGGTATTGCATCATTTCAAAGTGTGGCCAGTGTGTTTCAGATTGTTATCCTTTAAGCAGTTTCTCTGCAGACTTCTGCATGATCCCATTAATGAACTCAAGCTCACTCACTCACACCACTGTAAGAAAAACAGCCCCAGACTCTGTTTACACCTCTGTGCTTCACAGCACCCTTAGATCAGTGTGGCTGGAGTTCTTCTCCAGGCTTTCTCCACACTAATCAGTTCAATGCTGTGCTCAACGTGTTTTGAAACTAATATTTTGTTCAAGTGACCTGAAGAACTTCATTAAACTTTACCAATACACAGTTTTTAGTCTTTAGTAAAGAAAATGGTACTGTACAGAACCATGAGCACAAAGAACCCTATGCATGATTAAAGCGTTCTTCAGATTGATGGAGAATATGCTATAGACCAGGCATGTCAAACTGTGGACCTTCCTAGCCAAAGTGCTACAGATACTGGCGTTTACCCTCATCTAATACTCCAAATTCAGTTCATGAACGCCTTGTTAATGAGCTGATGAGCTGAATCAGGTGTGTTTATTGAGGCAGTGTGCTGAAGTCTGCAGTGTGCTGAAGTCTGCAGTGTGCTGAAGTCTGCAGTGTTTTGGCCCACAAGGATTGAAGCCTGACATGTGCTGTAGAGAGTTCTCTACAGAACCAAAAAGGGATCTTGTTACGATGTCAAGCTTGTAACAACAGAAGAACCATTTTGGTGCTATGTAGAACCCTTTTCAATATTTATATATATGTATTGAACATATGTAATATATATCGTCGCTGTCCAAAGAAAAACAAGTATTTCCAAAATAGCAGCTTTACAGGAGAGGGCAAAAACCTTCTGTACTTTTAATGTAAGTCAATGTAAAGATATTTTATTTTGAGTAATTTTAGAGCATTGCCATTTCATCACGAAATTTTCACACAATATAAAAGGACAGCCACTGTGCCTAAATGATGCAGAAAACTAAAGATCGACAAAAGTGGAGATACATATTTTTCCCTGGACAGTGATGATATATATAATATATATAGGTTCTCTATAGAACCATATAAAACACATTCTCCAGCAACCTGAAAAAAAAAAACTGAGACGAAGAACGCTTTAATCATGCAAAGGGTTCTTTGAGTGTTCATGGTTCTATTTAGAACCATTTTCTTTATTAAAAGAACCATCTTTTTTAAGTTTGTAATGAAATGCCACGTCTCCAAACATTTGTGCGTAAAGTAGTACTTTAATGGTTAAAAAGGTCCAAATACACAGTTAACAGCTTTTAAAATGTTGCAGTTATTTTAAATTCAGTTTGAGTAGCTTCCTCAATTTATAACAAAGGACTGGTCATTCTATTATAATACTCATTCAGCTACTAGTTTATATTGAACGTTAGACTATATGTGGCCACTCTTATCTGCCGGCCTACTTTTTTTCGTTTTACACAGTTTTGCCCTTAAAGCTGTGAGTTTTCAGGCTGTGTTCATTGCAGATCAGATTTCTTCTTTTTTTCTGATATGCAAACCAATTTTTTTTTGCTGATTTTTTTTCCCTGACCTGGTATCAGATCACTGCCATCTCTTACTCCTACACTGGCCGCTGGGCAGGAAAACAGCTCTGCCTGAATTCTCAAAGATCTACATGCTGAGATTCTTAAACGAATCAATAAAGCAAAGCAAACATCCTGATATGCTGGGTAATGTTATCACAACCCACAGGATGTCTTTCGAATCAGTCTGTTAAATCGTTACTGAGTCTGTGGATCTGACAGCTGAGCTCAGCTAACACGGTCAGAGTGCGTCAGTGGGACAGACACACAGACGTTAAGATAAGCTCTACTGAGGGCAGGGTCGTGTAAAGGGGAGTGACGTTCAGATGTTCAGAGATCGCTTATGATCCACCCTTCCTCATGGATTCACAACCTGGATTCATCTGCATGAGGGCATTTCACGTTTGAGGACAACAATCAGTATGACAGATCTGGCATACAGGCCAGTGGGTCACTTTTCACAGTTTTATGGAGCACAACTAAAATCTTATAACACATTAGATATTTTTTCTTTAGTCTAGAAGGTTATAAAGAACCTAAATATGGCCCTTTCCTTTGTGTGGTGCAATGCATCAACTTTAAAGGCCCGTTTTGCAGACAGAACTAAGCTTAATCATTACATAAAACAGTAACAGCAGTGGAGAATCCTTGTTATTATTGTGTTTAGTCCAAGACTCAGGCCTCAAAAGCAGTCCAAGGGCCCCAGATTCCTACTTTAAAAGAATCAAAAGCAGTCAAGACACAGCTCTACACTGTTCTTGTTGCTCCCAAAGTACTTTTGTTTTTCAAAATAACAACACTTTGACCTAACTAGTGTTTGTTGTTTTGAAAACAAAATATGCAGGATCAAAAAATCCTAACAGGACAGTGAAAATACTCGTCTTGGCAGTGTTACCACATACATTCAGTGGTAGAAATTAATGCCATAAATAAATGCAGAAATTACAGATAAACAATATACAGGCCATCACATTGTACATCAATATGTACAGGTTAAAAATCCAGGAATTAGCTCATTATAATACAACTCATGTTGGCATTAAAGAAATGAATGTCTTTAATGCCAATAATGGCAGAAATAAATACAGACATTAGAGAGAATATATAGGCCTACTGCCGTTACAATGTAAACGCCTATGTACAGTTTAAATGTGTATGAATTCATTAATTAAATGCACTTTATGATTCTATCCACATTGTACATTCAGGCAGATCTTCATTAAAGCTTAGCCTACAATCATCCTGAATTTGTGTAGTTTATTATAGCCTGAAAAGAAAACGTATAGGCCTAGTGTGTTAGCTGGATTAACAGTTGTATGTAAAAGTTTGGATGACCCAGTCAAATTACATGATTTTATTGATTTTCTAAGTGAAAATAAGTTAACACATTCTCTAAAGAGAACACATTTACTCATTCTAATGCACAGTTACTGTTTATTTGCTGAATTGAACATACTGGAAAAAATAAAACATAAAATGTGACCTGTGCAAAAGATACGGCCCATTTTATATTCTGTTAGATCTTTTATGTTATGATTTTCTTTCTCCAATACGTTAAAACTCAGCAAATAAATTGTATACTAACATATGCAGAAAGTGCAGTGCCACATTAAGGTTTGTCCCTGTAGAGGACGTTGACATATTTTAAATTATAAAAAAATCAACACAACAACTTGTCATTTCAAACTTTTTGTATCAATTATATCGAAACTATCGTCTCGCGGTAACACGATATCGAATCGTCAAATCGTATCGTGGAACCGACAAACAAGGGATCCCAATCACCATTTTCACAATAAAGGCAATGAATGAGGGAAATAAAGGACGTCACCACGAAACCGAGCCTGGGCTGATCTTTTCTAAAAGCCCAGCTGCGATAAACTGAACACGGATCTCCTACGCAGCCGAAATCAGCTGCTTATTCGCCAGCTTCTTGTTCGAATTTTCCCGTTCCACCTTAAATGGTGCAACAGTTAGATTTTGGTGCCAGAATGTAACTGTTGCACGATTTAAGGAGGAACCTGAAAATTCGAACAAGAAGCCTGAAGTGCCATCATGTTAACTGCGGGACGATTTAAGGTGGAACGGGAAAACTGTGGTGACAATGCAACTGTTGCACGATTTAAAGTGGAACGAAAAAATTCGAACAAAAACCTGACGTGACAGAATGTAACTGCTGTACGATTTAAGGTGGAACGGGACACTTCGAACAAGAAGCCTGAGGTACCATGATAACTGCTGCACGATTTAAGGTGGGACGTAAAAAATCGAACAAGAAGCCTGACGTGACAGAATGTAACTGATGCACGATTTAAGGTGGAACGGGATAATTCGAAAAAGAAGCTGGCGAACAGGATTCGCGATGTCCTCACCTGGTGAGATTCTCGATCTCGGCCGGAATGCTCTTCAGCCTGTTACCCCCGAGCGAGAGCGACTGCAGGCGGCGGAGCTGGAGGACCTGCGCCGGGATCTCCTCGAAGCGGTTCCCGCTGAAGTTCAGCACCTCCAGCTGCAGGGAGCCGAACTCTTTGGGCAGGGAGAACTCGTCCAGGCGGTTGTTCTTGGCTATGAGGGTCCTGAGCTTGGTCAGGCGGGTGATGCCCTCGCTCAGCACCGAGAGTCCGTTGTTGCTCAGGTCCAGGAACTCGAGGTTGCTGAAGCGCTGGATGGAGGCTGGAAGGTCCGTCAGCCTGTTGTAGCACAGATGGAGCTGCCTGGTCACTTCTCTCCTCTTGTCGCTCAGGGCGTCGAAACTCACGCTGTTGAAGCTCAGATGAGACAAATCCAGCACGGTCTCGCCGCTGCAGGCTCCCTCGAAGCCCTCCATGCTTTCCTTCTTCTGTAATGCTCAGCAATAAAAGGAGTCTTTGTCCAGATGGCTAGCGAGATTGGTCAGTCCAGCTCAGCTGACTCTCACAATCAATACCAGCTGCGGTCCAGGCTCATCCATACAAGTTAAATCTCAGTTTCTCCTACACTTACACCCCCATAATGTAGGTCATCTTGCAGGATCCTCAAAGTGTAGGCTGATGTTTGGAAACCCAAAACCTGCCTAATCCCCCACAGCGCCAAAACCAGGCCAGCGTAAAATATCTGCAGTTCATGTTCCGGGGCTGGCCACCCTGTCCCCGCCCCTACTGTATTAACCCCTTACTGCCAGCAACATGGAGACACGTGTAGTATTCCTATGGCAATAGATCACATTCATAATAATGCATTGGTATAAAGGAGCACTCTAAGTCCAGGTATCAGACAGTAAAGCTGTGCTCTACAAACTGGTGTCTTATGCAAGAGTTTAAAATGCAGTTTTTGCAGCCCCCTGGCCCCTCAGTGGTTACACAACTGCACCTGCTGCTAAGATTTCCTTATGCAAGAGGGCAAGAAGCTTGCCTCATGCTCCTTTTCGTGTATAATTATAGCCAAATCACACCATTGAAGAGCCATTTAGTCCTTGAAACTCTTTAAAAAAACGTAAAAAAATATGTTATGATTTATTTTTACCATTGTTTGTTTTTTTTTTACATTTTTTAAGCATTGAATTAGCAAAGACAAAATGTGGTTCGCTTGCATCCATGCCAATGACACACAGACATTAAGGAGGTTCTGGTGATTTACTTACAATTTGCTATTCTTTAAAACGGATTATTTTTACTTCCACTATAATTTGGGTAACATGGTTATGTTTCCAAAGTGACAATGTCAGTAAACATCGCAATATCACTGAAAACAAATGAAAAAAGAAAGCAAGTCACTTTCCTGCTTCCTGTGGTCTTTATGATGCACATTCCTGTTGAATATGTGACTTATGAAATATGACATTTCACAGAAGTAACTGTGTTCAGGTAACAGGATTCACCATAAAATATTGTGTAGTTTTTAAGCTTAAAAAAGTAAGTAACTGGGTTAACTTGAAACTTGGAGTTCACTGAACTCGTAATATTAAGTTAACAAGTGCAAAACACAAATTATTCTTCGGTTAACTTAATACAAGTTCAAGGAACTCAAAATGTCAAGTTTAACCGTTTTCTTACTTTCTTAAGCATGGCATGTTAAATGGATTTTCAAAGCATTAAAATAATTATAAGGGAAGTAGTGGTGGTGGATGGGGACACCCAAAAATACAGTTTTATACATACTGCATATTTTTTTCATTAATGTTTTAAGTTATTTACCCAAAACATGCACATTGGTTGTTGTGAAGGACACTTGACCTTTGTTTAAAATGCCTTTTCCCTTCACGGAACATACATATTTGTAAAAGTAATATCAGCAGGACACGAATGGCCCCATATTTGTGCACTGAAAAAAAAATTTGCTTTGGATTTACTTCATTCAAATGTTTACATGGTCCCACATGAGTGAAACACATTACATCAGCACAATCACTGTCGTTCATTTTACTTACTTTTGGTAAGAATTGTGTTGATGTATATTATTAATGTAGAATCATTGCACACAGTTTTTTGCAAAGCCACACTTTTTTCAGTCTGGAATTACACAATTAACTTGCTGACACATTGCAAATGTGTGTAAATGCACATGAATTAAATGCATTTGCAGTTTTTAACATTTCAGAAGGGATTCAGAGAAAAATCTGTGGAGGTTTCACATGTGATCCAGTCAAACCTGTTGACCATGAACCATATGGGTCCTGCTGCAAAATCAAGAAATGCTCACTTTAACTTTGGCACCAGCAGAGTTGGACTAAAAATCCACTATTTGATCACAATAATAATAATAATAATAATAATAATAACAAAATTGTGGAACAATTATTTTATTGACGTACAGTACAGAGCCAAAAGTCATAATACAAGTAAACTCAAACAAAAGTTAACGAGATAGTCTTTACATTGAAATGAATGAAACTGTCCTAGTTAGTGTGAAATGACCTGTTGAACTCAGTCGGTCACTCTACAGGACATCTGGTTAACTACCATAATACTGCAAAGTTCTTCATGGATTCCTACAACAGATGGTTACTTACGTAAAAGAAGGTTGTTCTACCTGTGGCACCAAGGACGTATATTTAAGGCACTCATTACCACAAAAATCCTTAATATTAGTGGAATTTAGTGAAAAAACAAAGAAAAACAGCACACATTCTCTTTTTCTCTCTATTGCTCACACACACACACACACACACACACACACACACACACACACACACACACGCACACACACAAATACACATGTAGCAGGTGCATACACACTCAAGCAAGAATGCATCGAAGCTAAAGAGGTGACAGCGATTCTAATCCTTATCCTGACCGCTCTTCGAAATAAAAGGTATAGTGTTGTTGCTGGGTCCAGAGTAGTGGTTTACCTGGAGGATTTGTACAACATTTAAACATCACGCTTTGGTTTCGAGCGACCCTGCCTATGCTCATCCCGTTCAGTGCCATCAAAATGCTCAGGGAATGACGAAAACACAGCTCTATTATGGCACAATAACGCTAGTCGTAATTTAGCAGTGCTCGCATTTCTCTTTCTTTCACCTGGTTGGTCCGTGTAGCTTTTCCCCCTTGTTCAAATGAGCTCCTTCAAACAGAAATGAGCACAGCAATAGAGCTTTAACAATTACTACTTCTACATAAAGCAATCAGACTAAACTATAAGCAGAGTAAGCAGAAGCAAAGCAGAAGCGTCTGTGCTGTCAGTGTTCCTGTCTGTATGGAGATAAAAGGAACAGGATGCGCTGTTTGGCTCAGACCACAGGCCTTTGTCAAAAGACCTGAAGAAATCAAGCTTATGGTGGACTATCCAAAAGTATTCAGACACATCTTTCAATCTTTATTTCTGAAATCAAGAGCATTAATAAGGAGTTGGTCCTCCTTTGCTGCAGTAAAAGACTCTACAGAACTCTACATGTTGTTCAGCAGAGCTTCTTCACTCCAACTCATCTCAATGCTGTTCAGTTGAAGTTCATCACTCCACCTAATCCCAAAGGTGTACAGCAGAACTTCTTCACTCCACCTAATCCCAAAGGTGTACAGCAGAGCTTCTTCACTCCAACTCATCTCAATGCTGTTCAGTTGAAGTTCATCACTCCATCTAAGCCCAAAGGTCTTCAGCAGAGCTTCTTCACTCCACCTAATCCCAAAGGTGCTCAGCAGAGCTTCTTCACTCCATCTAAGCTCAAAGGTCTTCAGCAGAGCTTCTTCACTCCACCTAATCCCAAAGGTGTTCAGCAGAGCTTCTTCACTCCATCTAAACCCAAAGGTCTTCAGCAGAGCTTCTTCACTCCACCTAATCCCAAAGGTGTTCAGCAGAGCTTCAACACTCCATCTAAGCCCAAAGGTGCTCAGCAGAGCTTCTTCACTCCAGCTAATTTAAAAGCTGTTCGACGGAGCTTCGTTATTTTAACTCAAGCCAAAAGGTGTTCAATAGAGCTTCATCACTCCAACTCATTTCACTTCTCCACAGTCCAGATGTCTGAAGGCCCTCTAGCCAACACTTAGCATTGTGCATGGTGACCTTAGGCTTGTGTCATGCTCCACAGCATTCTGTTCCAATTCCAAAGCCTATCTAAGGAGATAACATCACTGTGTGCACATTTCAAGCCCTGATTCAGCAACGAACGCGCCTTAACCTAGCTGAATCTGCTAATTAGAAGAGGCGACTGGATATTTTTAGGCATGCAGCGTATCATCCAAAAAGCATCACTAACTCTGACCAAAACACAATTCTGTCAGTGCTTTGTAACTTCTGGCTCTCTATTTTAGCACTATAAGCTAACTAATTCTACTTTGCAACCTAGAAAAACTGATGCAAGTGGGCAATGCTGCAAACAGAAGAATACATATTAGCACCTTTTCGAAAGGTCTCAAGACTATGACTGCCTTGTCTACGTGGAGAGAGAGTGTGAGGGAGACTCAGCTGACGTTGATATTCTTGCTGACCTTCATGCTTCAGACATCTCGTGGTTTAATACCCGGAAAAACGCAGAGCATACCATCTCAGCTGATTTCCTACTGACTTCTTCTCCCTCCAGCACTCTTTTTCACTCCATTGTCTCAATCAAAAGCAACATGTATACAAAATCCAAATCTAAAAAGACAAACAAATACATGATAAAAAACAATAATAATACATAGAAAATAACAGCGTACAAAATAGCCCCCGTATAAAGTGCTGGGGCCTCTTAGGCAAGGCTTAGAGTGATACAATAAAACAAAGTACAGCACTTGGTGATACGCAAACGTACAAAACATCAGACATCAGGCTAAAGGTAATACTCGGCTACAACTGCGGCCTAACAAACATCAACCGAAAACTAGGTTATAATGACGTTACACGGAAAGGTAATAATAGATAAACATACTATATTCATAGAGATAAAAACAATAAAATGATGTGATTCTCCCAGCAACAGTACGTAATCTCAGGAGTCCTGATTGTGTTCAGTAGGAGAAGAACCTCTTCCTCATCTCTCTCCTTCTTCCTCTTTAAACCTCTTTTGTGCTGGACTTCATTTTCTCCATGGTCTCCTGAAGAGGAAAGGACATGGTTAAAAAGGTTCTGTACAACCTTTGGTTGTTGATCTACTCTAATTGTATCTTATTTATATGATCTGATATTATTATTTATCTAATCTAATTTTATTACTAGATGCATGTCAACCTAATCCTTAATTACTAGCCTGTGTGAAACTTTCCACTATGCAAACAAACCTAGCCAAACACAAAATAAGTGAAGGCCAGTATAATATTAAGTACAGATAGCATTTACACCCAAATACGTCAAAATATGTCAACATGCAACCTGCTGCCCATGAGAAATCCCTCACCAGTTTGACAGGGCATTAAGTTTATAGGGTGTGTAAACGCACCAAGGCCACGACCTTGTTGACTTTAAATCAGGCTGCGAACGCAAGAGTCCTGTTTTTACAACCCCACACCAATGGCTCACACTTAATAAAACAACAGGGACAAAGTCTATTGCTGTTATTTGGGGATCTGGGTTAGTTTTCAACCTCTAAAAGTTTTTTTCAAACCTGCAGGGGTCTGAATACACATCAAGGGTGCATGCTTTATTATTCCCAGCAAAAGCAGTAACTACACAGCTTAGTGCTTATTTACTGGAAGAGTTTGACAGTTAGCTGCTGTGCTGGGTATCTGTTAATGTTCGTCAATGACTTATAAACCACACTGACCTGATCCGTGTTTCTAGTGAGACATATATGTGACTGAGGTGTGAAAAAGCCAGTAAACAGACCTGATGTTTGTTGAGTTCAGCCACGCGGAGGCTCCACTCCTCCTCCGTCATCTCCTCATCACCAGCAGCTGCCTCAGGTGCTGGACTTTTCTCTGTTGACAGAATATTACAATTATAAGTCTTTATATGTCTTCAGTGTTTGGCTGAGTGGTTAGGGGTACCAACTAGCAGCTACAGGGCTGGTCTAGATTTAATAGCATGAGAAGCATGAGAATTGGACCTTGAACTGGACTGCAGCTTGAAATGGCTTTGACACTCTAAACAAAAAATTTTCAGCATCATTAAATAGTTCAGACGTAAACAAAGTCATTCAGAGTGGTTTGATGCAAAATTATCCGTTCTAGAGAAACCAAGTCAGAATAGCTCACAGTAGTGGTGATAGGAACCAGACGTCTGAAGAATTTAACGCCTCTAAAAAGCTACATCACAGAAAGTTATTACAAGGAATGGTTATGAATACACTGCAGAATACCTGAGGCATTGTTTTAATATAGTTTTGGGATAAGGTTTTGGCCTAAAACGCCATTTTTAAAATACATTCATGGCAGAGAGGCCATGGCAGGCAGCATGTAATAAAGCAACAGAAAGCATATTTTAACATTATCAACATTACACGTAAAAATGGAAAAATGTAGGTTTACTTGTCGAATATTGTAAACAAAATGGCTCCATTTGTGTTGTATTCACTAATCACAACACCTGGTTCCTATCACCATCACTGTAAAGAAATCTGAGCCAGTAAAGTTTGTCTTAAATGAACCATTTCACAATGAACCACTCAGAATGACTTTGTTTACATCTCAATGATTGACTTATGCAGAAATGTTGAGATGTCTCCTTTAGTAGCTGTCAACAAACTCCCCTATACCAGCATTTGTCTGGAAATGACAATACAACATCACTGTACCCTCCCTAGTAAAACAAAACAAAGTGTTCCCAGTTCTTTAATGACATTACATTCATTCTATGTTCAGTTTTAAGCGTGGTCAGCTTTAGTCCTGGAGGGCTAAAGTCCAGCACGGGTTTGGTGATTTACCTGCTCAACTCTGAATAAAATCATCAGTTAGTTACCAGGTTTAGTAGGTGTGTCTGAGCAGGTAAATCACCAAAGTGTTCTGGACTCAAGTCATTCAGGACTAAAGCTGGACACCCTAGTTCTACTTGCCCTTATGCCTGTATTTTAACACTAAAGTGAAGCAGTTTTACTTCAGTGTCAATCAGACCAGTTTTCAGATTGATTTTAATTATCAGTAATTAAATATGACTGTATCTGTTGTGTCGTGTCTCACCGTCGCAGGTCATGGCAGTGCAGACCCAGTTGCCGCAGGCGCAGACGCAGCGGTTACACTCCACCTGCGTTTCTGATCCATCTTCATAGGTCTCATCCTCCAAAGCGCACTCTGCGGCACACAATACAGTAATTACACTCACTGCTACCATTCAGTCCACTTCAGATTACAGCCATCCACAAGTGCACTACCTATAAAAAGTATGAGCTCTTTTCAATTTTTCTTCTTCTTTGCTGGTTTGCAATAACTCACCATATTACAGATTAAATGGACACTCTGGCCAAAATGAAAAAAAAACAAAAAAACATTACATCTGTTGCATACATGCCTACTCGTCTCCTACAGTGGAGCCACAATAGTCTCAATAGTGAGATTTTCTGGTTTAAAGACTTTGAAAACCCCCTCCTGATGATGTATCTTGAATGTTGGAGGAACTTTTGAAGAAAAGAAAAAACTACAAGCACTTTGTCTGAAACGTTTTTGCTACGAAGCCTAATATGATGAGGGCATGTCTTTATTGCTGGGGGAGGGTCAGAAACATAGTACTTTCCTGGAAAAGATATTTGGAGATACACTCCTTAAAGCTTTAAGAATTTGCTGATAAGCATCTGCAGGTAGATCCTTCTGCAGGGAAGCTTGGAATGCACTGTATATCATATTTTTAGTCACATGGAAATCTCCCATCTCCAAAACAACAACAGAGAAGAGAGCGATAGACTTTAACCTAATTCCAAAATGCTCGAGCTGGTTTTAGTTCCTGGATCAGTTTCAAGTTTACATAAAGAACAACAATGCTCACAAAAAAAAAATCATGTTAAACATAACTAAAGGTTTTTCTTATGAAGCAATGCAACAAGCATGATGCAGAACTGACCATGTTTACATTTTCAGAGCAACTTTGTTACAACTGTGTTAGGTAGAAGCTCCCAAAGCTCCCAAAGTAAAGGTGGGCAGACTGCTGAAATCTCACTGCCTGAACTGAAATGTAAAGAGAGAAGAACCTCTGTGGAAAACAGAACCACTCAATATACAGGTCCACGTGCTCTGGTTCTCAGTAACTATTTCAGTACTCAGCTTTTCTAGAAATCTGTTTCTAGCTTTGCACAGTCCAGCAAAGTGTACATCTTGTGTAAGCTGTACCAGCAGAACTCCTGGTTCCTAGTTTACATGCTTTCTGTATGTGTGCCATTATCATTGCCTCCATCTTTGTGGATATCTTTCCCTTTCATCTACCTCCTGTTTTTGGCGCAAGTTCCTTTCTCTTAAGAGTAAGTCTTTGCTTTTTTCCTCCATCTATCTTAGAGCATATCTTTCTCTCTTTCTTTCTGTCTCTTTCTTTTGACATCTGTCTTCTTTCTTAGCTGCAATTCGGCGAGGAGCTTTCCTGAAACAACAAAACTGAGAGTCCATGTTGTGGGCTGGAATGTGTGTGTGCAGTGAGTTGTGATGTCAGAGAAGAAAAACCACTGTCCCACTTCAGTGAACTCTGACCTACTTTTCAGTTCACCCAGAGCTCAAGCAGGAGCAGCACATGATGAAGGCTCATTTATCTCTTTCAAATCTTGCCTGCTAAAAATGAATACTTGCATTTTAAATTCCAGGAATTAAGAGGCGGACTGTGGACATTTGGAAATGCCACCCTATCACAGTACAAGCAGAGCTGTGGATGTTCGTTTGAAAGCTGAACAACACATACGCTCCCTGACTTGGTTTAGCTGTTCAAGTGTCTGGGTTTATTTTGTGCATTTCTGAGGGTTTAGTTTGTTTTTTTCTGAGGGCTAAATGTGTGAGTTTTAGACTGTTGAGTGTGTGAGTTTCTGAGGGTTTAGTGTGTGTCTTTCTGAGGGTTTAGTGTGAATTTCAGAGGATTAAGTGTGAGTTTCTGAGGGTTTAATGTGAGTTTCTGAGGGTTGAGTGAGTTTCTGAGGGTTTAGTGTGAGTTTCTGAGGGTTGAGTGAGTTTCTGAGGGTTTAGTGTGCGTTTCTGAGGGTTTAGTGTGAGTTTCTGAGGGTTGAGTGAGTTTCTGAGGGTTTAGTGTGAGTTTCTGAGGGTTGAGTGAGTTTCTGAGGGTTTAGTGTGAGTTTCTGAGGGTTGAATGTGAGTTTCTGAGAGTTTAATGTGAGTTTCTGAGGGTTTAGTGTGAGTTTCTGAGGGTTGAATGTGAGTTTCTGAGGGTTTAATGCGAGTTTCCGAGGGTTGAGTGAGTTTCTGAGGGTTTAGTGTGAGTTTCTGAGGGTTTAGTGTGAGTTTCTGAGGGTTGAATGTGAGTTTCTGAGAGTTTAATGCGAGTTTCTGAGGGTTGAGTGAGTTTCTGAGGGTTTAGTGTGAGTTTCTGAGGGTTGAGTGTGAGTTTCTGAGGGTTTAAAGCGAGTTTCTGAGGGTTTAAAGCGAGTTTCTGAGGGTTGAGTGAGTTTCTGAGGGTTTAGTGTGAGTTTCTGAGGGTTGAGTGTGAGTTTCTGAGGGTTTGGTGTGAATTTCTAAATGTTTAGTGTGTGAGTTTCTGAGGGTTTTGTTTGTTTCTGAGGGTTGGTGTGTTTGTTTTTGAGGGTTAATTGTGTGACATTGAGGGTTTAGTTGGTGAGTTTCAGAGGGCTAAATGTGTGATTTTCTGAGGGTTTAGTGTGCGAGATGCTGTGGGTTTAGCATGTGAGTTTCTGAGGGTTTAGCATATGAGTTTCTGAGGGTTCAGAGCAAGTTTGAGGGTTTGATGTGAGTTTCCGAGGGTTTAGTGTGAGTTTCTGAGGGTTTGGTGTGAGTTTCTGGGGGTTTAGTGTGGGGGTTTCTGAGGGTTTAGTGTGGGGGTTTCTGAGGGTTTAGTGTGTCAGTCTGAGGGTTTAGTGTGGGAGTTTCTGAGGGTTTAGGGTGTGTTTTCAGAGGGTGTAGTGGGTGAATTCCAGAGGGCTCAGTGTGAGTTTAAGGGTTTAGTGTGTGAGTTTCTGAGGGTTCAGTGTACATTTCTGAGGGTTTAGTGTGTTTGAGTTTCTGAGGGTTTAGTGTGTGTTTCTGTGGGTTTACTGTGTAAATTCCTGAGGGTGTAGTGTGAGTTCCTGAGGGTTTAGTTCTTGGGTCCAGGGAAGTGGACCCAAGTGCAGAGAGGAAAACCCGTGAGAAAGGTGAATTTAATGAAGTGATGGAGTGTGAATTAAGCGATTGTGCATGTTGGGGTTGAGGTGGCTCTGATTCACAGTCTGAGGAGTTACTGCTGCGCCACTGGGAAGCACAGGCAGAAACGGGAAAAACAGCTCAACGAATGAGAATAAAAACGGCGGGAAAGGGCAAACAAAGGGGGCGCTGAAAACAGTGTGCACAAACAAAGGCTGAGATAGAAAAGTGAAATAAAAGATAATCAGAAAACAAAAGACACTTCCTCTGTGACTATGAGAGGAAGGTCAGCTTTATGTTTGCTCTTTGTGGAACAAACACTTTTCGGTGTGGCTTGGAGACATTTTTCTTATTTAAGCCTTCTTTTTGGCCTTTAAGACATTTTGGGGCAATTTATTCTTTTTTGGCCCTATTTTTATTTCTGTTGTTTTGGGGCAATTTCTCTCTTTTTTTCCAGCCCCCTTTTCTTTTCTTTTCTTTTCGTTTCGTTTCTTTTCTTTTCTTTTCGTTTCGTTTCTTTTCTTTTAAATACCCACCTGGGCTAAGTACCCTACTGGTCACCCCTCTATAAAGGTGTGACAAAGGGCTGCTGTTTGCCATGGCCTTAAGTAGAGGAGTCCACAGGTGTGCCAGGTTGGGCCTAATCAGCCCGAGGGCTTCTGGGATTTGGAGTTCCCTGAACTTGAGGTGCCTCGCCGCAGTCGCCCTCTGTTTCTGAAGGTTTAGTGTGTGAGTTTCTAAGGGTTTAGTGTGAGTTTCCAGTTTAGTTTATAAGTTTCTGAGAGATAAATGTGCAAATTGCAGAGGTAGACAGTGTAGTGTGTGAGTTTCTGAGGGTGTAGTGTGTAAATTCCTGAGGGTTTATTATGAGTGTAGTGAGTGTTTAGTTTCAACCCAAATCTCAGAGATCAGATCCAAGGAATAAAGGATTTCTAAAGGGAATAATAGACGGATCAAGTATGATGGATTACGTTTGAAGCAGGGCAGTGGATCTTCATGAGTAGGGTTAGTGATCACTGGTTTAGCGGTGGGGTTTAATGTGTATTATGATCATTTGAGTCCGTGCACTCACTCTTGTCTGGCGGGTTGAATCCTGGACGTAGGCAGTTGAGGAACTCATCAAAGCTCAGCTTCCAATCAGCATTCTGGTCTGAAAGTTCGATCAGGGCATCCACACACAGGCTCCTGAGACAAAGCCAGAGAGGAAAAGGGTTACTTACTGTATTTACCTGCTTTAAAGGTGTTGGGTGCAGAGTACATCCTTAAAACTCTCAAATGGTGTATACATTCTGCTAAAATAAAATGTCTGTGTTTATTTGTTCTGCTTATTTTGTGGCATTTACACTGACAAAACATTTGACAAGAAGGTCAGGTGGCGGACTTCCGAAAAGCTTTTCTAGAAACAGCAAGATGTGTGGTGACAGTGACTGTACTCAACTGAGTTTTATGATCTGTATGAATATAAGATCCCCAATTAGTAACGGTGGAAACGTACAGCATAAGTTAAAAATCCAAACAAATCTGATTGGATCTTTTTACGTTTTTCATAACCTTAAGGATATTTTGATCTAACAGCTTATGATTACATGGCTTGAAATTTGTTTAAATAACAAATACAAATAAATTGTATTTATTTGTCTCAGTATGCGTGTATCTTTTTCAGTCACGTTGGAAAATCATCTCAGGTGGCTCTTCATGAAACTGCTTGAGAGAATGATCAAGAACATCTAAAGACAAAAGGGCAGCTACTCTGAAGATTTTAAATATATACTGTATCTATATTTAACTAAGAGAAATTGGGATTCAACAAAATGGCTAGTGGTTATTTATGAGTCAACTGAGTCTAACTGAAAGGAATCAGACTGAAATTTTGGAAACACATTTTGTATCCACTCTTTTCTACTGGAGCAAAGAGTGAGCTGAATGTTAAAGGAGAAGCTTTTCCTTAACGGCTTATTATTTCATTTTTTCACAATCCAGGATGAAAAGCTCAGTGTCCAGCTCACCACTCTTAGGAAGTGGCTGTGCAGCAGTGGAATGTTTAGCTATTGCAGTCCAGTGATTGTTGGCAGGGATTTTCCTCTTCAGCTTCTATTCACAATACAGAACTCTGAACTCATATAACCCCGACTGCCACACAGGCACGCACAGTCTGTACCTGCCTCTGCTCATCTACTGGATCCCTTCCTCCACCTATCTAAGTGTCTTTCTTCTCTGATCTATTTCTTCTCTCTATCTCCTGTACTTGGCGTCTACTTGCTCTGTTCTCACTGCAGTTCACAGTGGAGTTTTTCTTTGTCAACAAAATATAAGGGTCCATGCTGTGTGGTGGAATGTGTGTGGGCAGATCCTGAATGCAGTTTCTTAACTGCAGAGCTGTTTTTTTCTAGAGTCAGGTTTTAATCCAGTAATTACATAGTATTCCCTCAGTATGGGCTAAATAGCATATAAACATCATTATTATCACATCAGACTTTAGACCCCTCTAGGTATAAACCCATATGCAGAGGTTATAGTAAAGGAAACTGGTGAGGGTTGTAACACTTGTCTCAGCCTCTATACTTTCAAACTTTTAGATTAAATATTCATATTGACCTGCTACAAATAACAGCAGTGTAGAAGTGTCATATACATATACACACATATATACATACATACATGTATTTTAATAGTACCACCCTTAATTTATTTAATTTACAGTGAAAACTCAAAAAACTGCAATTAATTACAAGTCATTCATTTTTCAGCATCAGGAAAAATTACACAAATTACACAGAAGCCTCAACTAAAAATATTAACATTTTTTTCAGTATTTACTGTGTCCACTCTTTGCCCTTATTACAGACTTCTTTTTTTGGGACACTTGCTTTCAGTTTTTCAAAGAAATCTGTAGAGATTTTTTTCAGAACTCCAAAGTTCAGTCTTAGAAGCTGGTGGCAGTTTGGTGACAGTTTTGGTGGTCTACCAGGTCTAGTATGGTTGTTTGGATTACCGTTTTCTCTGAATCATTTATATTTTTTTAACTTTTGTTTTACAAAAATCTTGTTTTTTCACATTGTTCCTGACCCTTTCTTATGCAGATGAATTATCTTCTATGTAATCATCTCAGAAATATCTTCTGAAAAATGAATAACTTGTACTGAATGGCTGTTCTGGCTGGAAATTAAATAAATGAAGGGACTCTGACTTTTGCACAGTAATGTATGAGGATATGTGAGCGTGTCTGTGAGTTACCTGAGCAGGCGGTTGTTCTCCTCCTCTGCGTAGGAGCGCAGCTCTACAGCTGTCTCATTGTGCTGGATGAAGCGGAGCAGCTCAGAGGAGTCCAGCTGTGAGTCGCCGTTATCGTAGTTCTACAGCAAAAGCAGAGTGCAAACATGCTTCAGCAACACATATAACACATTCATTCTGATGAATAACATTTCAACTGGAGTCTCAGAATAATGCATTAAATACAATTCCTTATACCCCTACAAAGCCAAAAGGGCTAACAGAGCTAGCAAAGCTACAAAGACTGTCAAAGATAGGACAGTGAACCGCAAAGCTGCCTCCAACTGCATCAAGTTGATGGGTGAACAAATAGACTTGCTTTTGTGGTTTGTGACACTGTTTGACATACTGTTCTCTATAAATATGGACAAAAGCACATTGCATAGCTAAAAACAGGAGAAGCTGCCATCCAGAAGCCTGAATTCTGTCTGTATGTTTGTCAATTTTATAGATAACATCAGAAGTGTCAGAAACCACATAAACAAGACTTGAGATTTGAGATTACCTAAGCCTGTGATGATTAAGGTATACAGTTAGGTCTCCATTACATTAGCCTTGTAGCTCCAGGACAAAAACAAAGAACAGAAAAAAAGGACACAAAACATATCTTAGCTGAGCGACTGCATACGTTGTGTAAAATTGTGAAAATTTTGTACATTTGATTTTTAACTAAACAATCATTTTAAAATGGTGTGTATTATTGGTGCTCCAGGATCAATAAACTGGTCTACTACAAAATTTAATCCCGTGTTTAATCTGCAAATTACTGACGGTTAATTATAATGAATGGTTTGTACTCAAGTTTCTGCCGCAGGGGCCCCCCCGCAATCTCCCACTGCCTATACGGCACTGCACTGCTCCCCCATGCTGGACCTTGCGGATGGTGGGCCCACATGGCCTCTTCACGTTGCCTCTTCGGGCTGAGCCCGGCCGGGTTACGTGGGCTGCCCGGCCACCAGGCGCTCGCCGGGGGACACTACCCCCAGGCCTGGCTCCAGGGGTAGGTCCCGGTGACCCTCTCCCGGGCAGGGTACACGATTGTCCGTGTCCATCTCTCATAGAGGATTTTTTTGGATCAAGTTAGTCTGGGTCTTCACTCCAGACCTGTTCGCCCTGGGAGACCCTACCAGGAGCATACTGCTCCCGACGACTTAGCTCTGAAGATCCCTAGACCACACAAGCCCTTCCACCTCAACAAGGCCCCGATCCAGGTAAGGGGGAAGGAGCCCCAGGTGGAGGAGTGTAAGTATCTCGGGGTCTTGTTCACAAGTGATGGGAAGAGGGATTGTGAGATCGACTGCAGGCTGGGACAGGCGGCAGCAGTAATGCGGTCGCTGTACCGGACTGTAGTGGTGAAGTTTACCGGTCGGTCTACATCCCGATCCTCACCTATGGTCATGAGCTATGGGTAATGACCGAAAGAATGAGATCGCGAATACAAGCGGTGGAAATGAGCTTTCTTCGCAGGGTGGCGGGCTACACTCTATTTGATAGGGTGAGGAGCTCGGCCATCCGGGAGGAGCTCGGAGTAGAGCTGCTACTCCTCCGCATTGAGAGGAGCCAGCGGAGGTGGTTCGGGGCATCTGATCCGGATGCCCCCTGGACGCCTCACGGTGGGGGTGTACCAGGCACGGCCTACCGGGACAAGACCCCGGGGTTGTCCTAGGATGCGCTGGAGGGATTATATCTCCAGGTTGGCCTGGGAGCAGCTTGGGGTCCCTGGGAATGAGCTGGAGGAAGTTGCGGGGGACAAGGTTGTTTGGGATTCTCTGCTCTCCCAACTGCTACCGCGACCCTAGCTGGACTAAGCGGTTAACGATGATGATGATGATGTACTCAAACTGCTCATGAAATACAATTGCTGGGACTCATTTCAGTGGACCTAAATTAAATTGTGTGTTCGTTACTAAAATGTATAATGGTTATTCCAACTATTGATCAATCTAAGAATTGCAAGCTGACAGATATGCTGCCTACATCTAGATGTTTTAGATGTGTGTTAGATATTTTAGGAAAAAAAAGCTTTAAAAAGTGTTTAACCTTGTTAGGAATGTTCTGGTTTCATACATCTATTTGTTCTTGGTTGGTGTTGAGTAGTACTGGTGGGCCTCTTCTAGGTATGTTCTTGGGTATGGGGTCTCTGGAGCCTTCCATGTCAATTACCAGTAGAAATAAGCTGTAGAAATCCATGGTTTGGTTTTACAGTGTGGTGAAGTTTGTTCTGAGAGGCTTATCCACTGGGTGATCTACTATGGAGCAATGGTGGACAGTGTGGAAAAGGGCAGAGCCAGTTTATCTACATGCTGTTAGCAGAACCACACAACCAGATACAGCCCGGTAACAGCTAACAAGCACACATTTATTACACATATACTCTCTCACAGGTTTAGAGAAGATGACACTCAGTTTGACACTCCAAATCACAGGTATTCTAATCTAATCTCTCTGCCTTCACAATGAAGGGTGTTCTGCCTGATATGGACAGTGTCTGGTCATGTAGCGCTGAGATATGTAAGCAAAGGACATGTTATTTAATACTTTTTTCTAAAGGGAAGAAATTTTGTTGAAAGTGCGGGTTCTGTTCCTTTAATTAAAGCCACGTTTGTGTTGGTAAGTAGAAGAGGAGATATTTTATTATGATTTGAATTTGATAAAAAAAATATCTTTAAAAAAGACAAAACACGAAAATGTAATCAAGAGAAACAGAATGAATCAGAAATGTAGACTTAAACATGTCAATAGAAAATTTAAGTCAAATGTAAATACAATTCATTACATAACTATGTAATTAGCTATTAACTAGTTATTAACTAATTAGTAATGAACTAATTATCAAATATTTCCTGAGCTGAATCAGGTCTATATATTCTTAGAAGCATTGACGTAACTCAATATTAAGAATTTCTCACTTGTACCTCATTGAAACAAGCAGAGAAATTCAGTCTGAACACAGACTGATTCCTTTGATACCACATTCTTGTTCATTCATAGCAAAGGAGATATTTTTATTATTATTATGTTTGTTACTGTTGTGCGCCCAGTGTTGGACAACGGAAAAAAACAGAAAAAAGTCATACGTACAGACTCAAATCTGTCAAACTGAATATAAATGGAATTCACTGCATTGCTTACTGTGCAACTAAAAATTGTTGCTGTCCAAAAAAAACGAGTATCTCCAAAGCTTTGCCCTCTTCTCTACTGTACTGACGTTGGTATCACCTGCAGCCGGATAACTACAGTAGCATTAGCATCGCCAAGCAGGATACAGCTCAAAGCAGCACAGATCAATTCTATTTTTTATTTTTTTGTCACTTCAACACCAGTCATTCCAATATTGTGCTCTCAGATAGGAGTCTTTATCCTTTAAACAGGTGTTTTTAATCATTTGTTCGCTGCTGTGGGAGGCACTGTACACTCACATTAGCTTAGCCTAGCAGGCTACAGCTTAAAGCACTGCAGAAGAGGTCCGATTTCCACTTTCTCTCACTCCACCGCCAAACAGTCGACTTTGCTTTCACTGTTGTAAGTTTTTATTGTCTATGTGTGTGATAGCAAAGCACTGGTTAGTCGAATCGAACTCGGGCTGGGGTGTTTGGATCTCTTTAGCTAAGCTAAGTTAGCTAGGAGAGAGGACCTGGGTAGCATTAGCTTAGCTAGGAGACTCCAGCTCCTGTCCGTGTGAGCAAACGGAACTTGATTGTTTTCGGTTTGGAAATAACGCAGCAGGATGCTGTGGCACATAAACAAACAACCAATCAGTGAATCAGTGAATAGCTATGTCATTATGTCATCCCACCGAATAGTTCTGTGGCCCAAGTTTGGCTAGCTAACCATGCCGAAAAGGGCTGAACCCGGTTTTTAAGCATTCTGTGTCAAACCGTGTCCATTCAGAACCGAAGTGGTTACCCTCCCTGCTCAGAACCGTTCGGCTCTGCAGTGGAAAAGAGGTCACTGTTAAATTTTTATATAAGTTAATATAAAGAGATTTTATTCAAAGCAATTCTGGAGCATTTCTACTGCTCTATTAATCAGAAAATCTTCACACACTATAAAGTAGCTGCTGTGCTCAAATGACGTAGATAAATAAAAATATAAAAAATAGAGATACTTCTTTTTCCTTGGACAGTAACTGTATGTATGTATGTAATTTCCTTTGAGCAAAATGACAGTAATAACTCTCAACTTTCACACGTTAATCACAGGGAAAGCCATGAAAAGCATGCAGGAGTTTGAAGGGGGATAGAATTCCACTGCTGGAAACACCTGCTGATCTGTGGAAAAACAGTGACGACAGCCCTTGGCATAAAGTACAGAGCAGAGGAGAGGTATGTAACAGTCCTCTTACAAACTCACACTTTGGTAGCCTCTCAGCCAAGCAGACTGGATAAGACGTCATAAGAGTCATAAAACGTAACAGTAGTCTTCCTGCTGACACCACTGCCAGAAAAATGTTCCAGCGTGTCCTGAGACTGCTGCAGGATTCAAGAGGAGTCACTGATACCCCCTGTGGGGGTTAATGCACACAAAATGAACAGGGCTTGAAGGGAGGAAAGGGGGCCCAAACCAACTCTTTCATTTGTTGTAATATGTATACACTGTGACAGTGCCAAGTGTATGACTGCACACATAGGAGACTGAGAGAATCAGAATTAGTGTAGGACAGAAGACGTCCTAGTCCAAAACAACATATCATAACATATCTGTGGGTGACTGAGGCTATGTGTGTGTGAGTCAGTGCAACCATACAAATACATAACTGTTCAAAAGCCAGGAATCATGTGTTATAATTCTTATTTTATTTAAACGTTTTAAATGATTATAATAAATTATTATAATGTAGATAATATAATGTAGAGCATCAAGAAGAGGTACTAGATAATAGACTGTAGTTATCAGATTTTAGTAATTTGTTGTCAACTTATGATACCATTCAGAAATTTGGAATCACATGAATAATCTTGTTATTTTATACACCACAATGTAGATTTATCTCAAGCTGGGAAAAGCAAGAACGTATTAAATGATAAATATATTTCTGTAATTATGCATTTACAGTACGTTTAAAGTATTGGCCTTGAGATTTGATGACCACTTAAATATGAGGCATTCTGGATATTTATTTATTAGTTATGATTTAATTATTGATGCTACACAGCTTCCTCAGTCATTTCAGAATCATCTACAGCTCTGTCCACACTTAAAATTTTTCCTTTTTATCTAGCTTCCTACTAATTATTTGAAACCTGTAAAGTTGTATGGGACTAGCATCCTTTTATACATTTATCTACAACAAAAACTGGTTTAATATTATTGACAACAGTGATTTTTAACAGGATTTCCAAAGTCCATTTAAATGGTGCATCTACTTGAAATTTGACAACCACTTTTGAAATATAATGTCCTGGATGTTAACACAACAATTTCTTGATGGTTTAGAGCCTTCTCTGCCATTTTTCGAAATTAAAATAAATGTAATTAAAATTAAATGCAGTTCTGTTTTTCAGCTTCTGGAAAACTATTTGAAACCTGCTTCAAATACCAGCATCCTACCAGTAAAACTAGTCTAATATTTTTTTTATCATTATTGAAAACAGATTCACTTTTAAACTCTACTGTATGTGTTTCTCTGAAATGTGGTGAACCTTCCTGCTATTGCAACTGTCCAAACTAACCTTGAAGTACTTGAGCAGGGTGTCGGTAAAGTTGGAGCCCTTAGTGAACCAGCCGTCTGGAACCACCTCAGTCTGCAGCCACTCAATCACACGTCTACGCAGTTCATTACGATCAGCCACATAGCAAACCACTGCACAAACACAACACATACACATATAATTAAAATCAAGACAAATGTGGAGAGACACTGACCATTAGAATAAAAGTCCAGTTTAACATACAAACGCTAAAAGACAGCGATTAATAAACAGTATGGCACTTACAAAGCCACATCACATATATGTAAGTCATTTTTTTATTTCTTCAGGTACATTTTAAACAAATAAACAATAACAAACAAATGATTCAAGAGCAAATGAAGTTATTCATCAAAACCTTCAGCGCTTTTTCTTTAGTTTATTCTACTAACATTGGTATCCAGACATTTAATTAATTCCACTATGATCTAAAAGAGAAACAGAGACAGAGAGAGCTGCCCTTATGAACCTGCTGTACGTCCAGAGAGCACTATGCTGACTAAGCTCACTCCACTGCAGCCTCGTTCACAGCAGCTCAATCTCCTCTATAAGCTCATACTGCTGATCAGCACTATAGGAACTGATCAGTGTGCCAGGCTGATAAGTAGTGAGATAGGAGAGATCAGCCTGGCCCCGAGGACGCTACACTCACCTGGACTGGCGGCCGCTTTCTCCGTTTTCCTCTCTGCAACAGAAAATCAGATCAGAATCTTTCATCAGCCAAGCACAAGATGTACAAGCAATTTCTCTTGGTGCAACTATCATACACCACTGTTCAAAAGCTTGGAATTACTATGTTCAATAATATGAACACAATTTTGGATGCAGATAAATGCATGAAATTATTTTAATATGCAAAATGAAAAAAAAAAAAGTAGTAAAATAAAAACAATTTAGGTGTGTTCAGAATGATGAACAGAAATGCGGCTGATCATAAATTGAAAATGCTTTAGAACATCAAGAATGCAGTTATATAATTAATATCTAGAATGATTTATATTTGAAAAGTGACCTTGATGCACATTATTGTAAATATATCATTACATTAAACTTTTCATTAAATTAATAACTCTGTTGTTCCCAAAGTATTTGAAATATTAATTAAAATAGTGTCGACTTTATGATAATAAAATGTATAACAATTACGAAGAATAACAATAATGAAAAGTGAACCTAAACTTTTCGTGTAAATTCCAGTATAACACAGAGAAAATATGTGATAAATAAAATAATCGACAGCTAACAAAAATACAACGGGTGTTTGTACAGTGTTTGTGTTACATACACACAAACCGATTACTTTATTAGAAACACCTGTACACTTACTCATTCATGCAGTTACCTAATCAGCCAATCATGTGGCAGCAGTGCCATGCATAAGATCATCCAGATACAGGCCAGCAGCTTCAGATAATGTTCACTTCAACCACCAGAATGTGGAAAATATGTGGTGATTTTGACTGTGGTATGATTGTTGGTGACAGACGGGCTGGTTTGAGTGTTTCTATAACTGCTGATGTCTTGGGATTTTTACACACAACAGTCTCTAGAGTTCACTCTGAACAGTGCAATACAGAAAAAAAACACCCAATGAGCAGCAGATCTGCACACAGAAATGCCTTGTTGATGAGAGAGAGGTCAGCGGAGAATGGCCAGACTGGTTTAGGCTGACAGAAAGGCTACGGTAACTCAGATAACCACTCTGTACAGTTGTGCTGAGCAGCAAAGCATCTCAGAATTCACAACGCGTTGAACCTTGAGGTGGATGGGCTACAACAGCAGAAGACAATGTCAAGCTTCACTTCTGTCAGCCAAGAACAGAAGGCTGAGGCTGCAGTGGGCACAGGCTCACCAAAACCGGATAGTAGAAGACTGAAAAAATCATAGCCTGGTCTGATGAACGTAGATTTCTGCTGAGGCACACAGTTTTATATAGCACCAAAAAGGGTTCTTCTACTGTTACAAGCTTGACATTGTAACAATGACAGAAGCCATTTTGGAGCTATATAGAATGCTTTTGCAAAGGGCTTACAGCATCACAGCATGTATCCATGGACCCAACCTGCCTCGTGTCAACAGTCCAGGCTGGTGGAGGTGACTAATGGTGTGGGGAATGTTTTCTAGGCACACTTTGGGCTTGTTAATATCAACAATGCTTAATAATATCAGTCAATGCTTGAATACCACAGCCTGTTAGAGTATTGTTGCTGACCATGTGCATTCCTTCATGGTCATAATTTATCCATCTTCTAATCTTCTATTTACTTAGAAGATTAATTAACTACTTCCAGCATGATAATGCACCATGTCACAAAGCAAAAATCATCTCAAACTGGTTTCATGAACATGATAACGAGTTTAATGTTCTTCAGTGGCCTTCCCAGTCACTGGATCTCAATCCAATAGAACAACTTTGAGATGTGGTAAAACAGGAGACTCGCCATCTTGTGGAATCCATGCCACAAAAAATTGAGGCTGTTTTGACCGCAAACTATCCCACTATTAGTCTAGTGTTCCTCATAAAGTGCTCGGTGAGTGTACATTTTAAGCATTGCCATTTTCTAGAGTTATAAAGGACATACACACAATAAGTACAGTTAAAGCTGTGAGCACTGGTTATATTCTGTACATTATTACAGAATACGGATGCAGGACGGGTCCTTATTTAAGCGTGCTTATTATGGCCTGAAATATACAGTAGATATATTAATCACATGACAGTGGAAATTAGGAACTTTCTGTAGATATACATATATGTATTTCACCACTAGTGTGAAAACCTCACAAAACATTTCAATCATCTTGACAATTCAACAAACACTTCCGATTTTCTTCTTTCTTTGAGAGATATTGTTTTTGAGTCCAGTTTTTTTCCCCAAATAGCAATGATCTAAAATATCCAACACCATGACAAACACTGACAAGTCACATCCGGATGTACCCTGATCTAAGCTAATTACAACTGTCTGACACCAACTCAATATTCAAGTAGCAGCAGCAGCCAGGAAGCTTCAGCTGAGGGAGAGTTTAGCTATATGTCGCAATATGAAATGATATAATGATATCTCCCTGAGATCTGACAGAACAGCCTGGTCAATGTCCAGCCCTTCAACACTGTCAGAAAGGAGTACAGCAAGTTCACTGAGGTTCCAGTAGGTTCACATCTGCACACAGCTCAGTTCACTGATAAACTACCAGATCAGTCCAGATCTGAACAAACACCACACGTGTTACACACCCACCATGATGTAATCTGATCCAAACAGAACCATACAGCTACAGCGATGTGCAGTATTTTCTCTCAAACACTTTTTGTGATGTCTTTTGATTTATTAACATGTTGGCAATGCTGGAGATACAGAATAAATGTGTATATTTGCCAGCTTGAAACATTTTATAAGCAAAAAACAAATAATAAACCACAAGCTTCTGATGTAGAAATCAGCCAAATGAATGTAACAAATATTACAGGTGCATTTTTTTGTCCAGTATGATTGCTGATAGTAGTGTGAACATTAGAGTCATGCCCACTATTACGACACTAAATATATGATGGTCATTTGATGCAAATTCAAATAACTGAGAAAGGAACAGTGTTATGTACTTTACTGATCCTACAAGGGAAATTTGTAATTTTGCTGCCTAACTATGCCTAGTCTATGAGCAGCATAGCACAAGCAGCAGTGAAGGGTTTAAGTGCCTTGACAAGGGCACGACCAGGAATACCCAGTCAATCCTGGGATTTAAACCCACAACCTTCCAGCTGCTGCCACCTTCTGGTCGATTCACCTCTCATAATGATCCCAAACAATCCCAAAGGGTCCATTTAATTGTATTTAATTTTAATTGTAAAACTTCATACTCCTGTCGATTAACCTTAGGCTTATTATTGCAATATTCACGTTAAGACTACATATCTATAGTAGTAACTACTATAAATTATTCAGTAACTACTACGACACTAATATGTGAGTTATGTAATTATGAGAGTGAGGGATTGAAGTGTGGGCCCATATACAGGCATTTAAGGGGTTACAATAAAAAGAAAGCATGCATATAATATCTCGTTACACATGTATGTCTTTCTTTGATTGTCCATAGAGGAAGCTTATCCTCTATTCAGTGAGCCATAAAATCTAAATCTTTAATCCTCTAGCTGCAGACTAGTGGCACGTAGGACTTTTGTACTCGTTAAATCAGAACACCACTGCAGAGGTCAAATGTAATGCCTGCTGCAAGTCATCAGTCACATTTGACAAGCATTGTCCACTGGCCTTTAATATCTCTCAAATGGACCATCATCAGGATCATGAGCAAATCAGGCTGCAGGTTTATTTGTTACGTACAGTAGTGCTGCATGACATTGAAAAGACAATGCATTTTAAATGCTACATGATGATTAATTCAATAGCTATTCATGCTTTCATTTCTTTATTTACATTAATGTTGTACTCTTTGCACAGGTGAATGACTTAGATAGGTTTGTATTGGCCACATTTGAAAACCAGACATGTTAATGCAAGCTGTAATAGTTTGAATCTTTTTCTGTGGTCGGTATAATAAGTGTCGGGTTTCCATTGAGGACAAGTGCATTTAATATTTTTCTGTTGTATTGGTTTGGTATCAAACTTAGTATCACTACCCTTGATACTAAAACAATGCAGTTAGTATCAGTTTTGTAGTTGAACCTCTGGAATTGAGACAATCCTTATGCACAGACACAGTAGAGGCTGTATAAATATACGCTTTATGTATACACAGCTCAACCACAATATGCATTTTCATCTGCGGTTTATGAACCCCATGGCCCCTATCTCACCTCTGCAGTGACCATCATGAGCCACCTGGATCTTCAGTCCAGTGAGGCAGGCGTCTCTGTGCAGCTCACAGTGGTTTCGATATGTTTTCCCATTGCTGCCACACACAGAGCGCTTGTGAGGCTTACATTGCTGAGAGAAGGAGGGGGAGAGGGAGAGGGAGAGGGGGAGAGAGAAAGAGAGAGAGAGAAAGTGAGAGAGAGAAAGTGAGAGAGAGAGAGAGAGAGAGAGAGAGAGAGAGAGAGAGAGCACAGTCAAGTCACGAACACTTATACATGTGGTGAGACAGATATTTTCTGCCAATACCAGCTCCCACTGACTACACCATTAGTTTGGAGGAACCTCTTTTTTAAAGTGTAGCTTTGAAATAAATAGGCCTTCATTCTTCGTTGGTTTGTAAAAAGTTAATATATTAATAATATTTAGCACTTTTTTAATAAGGAAAATGATACTGCACATGTAAATATATGTGAAAGAACTACTCTTCATATGAAGTGTAACAGAAAGTTCTGTTTCATGTTAACAACACCTTTGTAGGTATTGTTGAGTTGAACAGTAACAGTGAATAGCACTTTGAATTTCAAGTATGCAAAGTGTCCCCAAACTTTTGATGGGCTGCATAGCTCCCACCTGTTGCATGACGGCTACCAGCCTAGCAGGGCAAGGGCTTGACATGTGTAGACATGTCATTGTGATTGGCTACTTATTGTCTTTGTAGCTTAACAACACTGTCAGAAAAATGATACTGTATAGGTACAATTTCGTCTCCTAGGGTACAAATAATGTATATTTACCCTCAAAAGGTACAACAGCGGTCCTTAAGGTGCAATGGTTTACCTTAAATGAGTTTAACGGTACACTCTACTGCACTCACTCTACGGTACACTCTAATGACGACATACCCTTGAAGGTACCACCATAGTGAAAAGAATATACCATTTTGTACCTTTTTTTCTGACAGTGATTGATAAGTCTAACAACTCCCAGTTTAACCCATTCAGTGTGAAACCCATTCAGTCGGGTGAAACTCAGTTCACAGCTTTGTTATGTCCTGTAACTTTTACAGTGTAATTTTGCACTCCATACCATATTGTATGACGTTTTAGAGCAAAGGAATAAACAGTGGTGTATTCTTTGTGCTCGTACAGCATGACCTGTGTTTAAATACCATCATTCATTGTGCACTGTGGCACAGAATGATCCCTATTCAGCTGTAGGAGCTCCATTCAGAGCTGCTTACACTAAGCCTGCTCATATGAAGGGGAGCTAGTTGTGACAGGAAAGTACTCTGTGTGTCAGTGTGTTAAACGAGCCTTTGAAGTTAATAATCTGCCGTGCTGTGTGGCAGACACACGACACACACACCCTTTGTAGAGTAATGACCATTATTACTCCACATGACCACGGCACCTGACCCAAATTCCGTACATGCTTTAGGCTACTTAATCTATCTACTCTTAATAATCATTGCAAATTGTTCTAAGGGATAGAATTACTATAACTACCACTGTCATGATTACAGTAAGTGGACACACACATGATTTATTTGGACAAAATGTGTTTTATACACTTATATAACCAAACGTTTGCTCATCCGAAATTTCTCCTGAAATCAGGGGTATTAATAGTGAGTTTGTCCTTTTTTGCTGCAGTAACAACCTCAACTCTTCTGGGAAGGCTTTATACTAGATGTTGGTACATTGCTGTGAAGATTTGATTGCATTCAGCCACAAGAGCAATAGTGAGGTCAGGTACTGATGATGGATGATCAGCTCTGGATCAATCCAACTCATCCCCAAGGTTTTGGATGGAGCTCCATCACTCCAGAGAACACAGTTCCACTGCTCCCCAGCCCAGTGCTGGGAGGGGGCTTTATTCCCCTCTAACTGCTGCTTGGCACTGGGCATGGTGAGCTCATGTACGGCTGCTCCAGAGCGTCCCATTCTATTGGTCAATGCTTTTCTATGGAGATTATACAAGCCGTGTGAGTATAATCAAAAGCCTGTGTCAGCAACTGATGTACCTTAAAGAAGCTATACTCACTCATTAGAAGAGATGTCAGGATGCTTTTCGACAAATATCATTTACTTCTTGTTTATTTTTCCCAGTAAACTTGGGTGGAATCTTTGAAAGGCTTGGTTTGAGTTTGCACTGTTTGTTTTTCTTTAGTTAAGGTTAAATTATCAGTAAATGATTGATTAAGACAGTCCTAATAATGATTACTGGAAGCCTTTTGGGGTCAGTAGATTATGGCCATACTGGAACCATATCCTTGGTCTAGTGTTAGGCTGTGTTCGGACTGCAGGCAAATCAGATTTGTTTCTCTAATCCATCTATTTGTGTGACCAGATATCACAAGTCTATCTGCATGGGTTGCTGTGGTAACAACGTAAGCGTCAGTAACTATGTAGCTACGCTAGTGATGCAGATTTCAAATGCCGATGCTGGACAGATGGAGGTGCATCATCTCACCCTCCAAAGTCTTCAAAATTTTTTGGAGTAAGCATGAATCTTTGGTGCTTTTCTTGAATCCCGGCTGACTTTGTCATGTTGCGAGTGATGTAAAAGACTTTGAAATCTGATTTGAGTGGCCAGAGCATCCAGACTGAGATGCATCTGTAAAAATCCAACTGGAATCGCATTTCAAACCACCTCGAAACGTGAAAAATCGGATTTAATGTGTTTTTTGCTGTCAAGACTATCAAAAATCAATCTGGATAAAATCTGGATATGCCAAAAATAGGATCTGGGCTGGCAGTCTGACCATAGCCTTAGAGGCTCACTGATAGTTAGGGTGGAAACAAAAGCGTCTTTATAAATCTGACTTCTAGACTGGGTGGGCATTTGGGTTTTGAACAGAACAGCTTTTTTGCCACTAACAAAAATCATGCTTCACCGAGGGGGGCTTGAAGGGAACAGCTTCACCAAACAATGGCCTGGGTTTCCACTGAAACGTTTCACAAACGATATGCACTAAAAATTAGTAGGAAAATGCAAATACAGTTGTGTTTCCATCCACTACACTTATGCAAAGAAATGTTAGATGACAAAGGCTACCATGATTAAAGGCAGCATTGAAACAAGCAAGATGGAGAGATTTAACTTGTTTTTTGCTTCAGTACAATTATCTTTAAAGCCATCTGCCATCTTTTTATGGCCGTGTTGTTTGCAGCTCAAAGAAGCCGTGCAGGATAAGCCACGGCCCACCTAATGAGGGCTGAAATCACAGTGCCACCCCAACGACACAACTGGGAACACAAGCACACCAGACAGTTCTGGGAGCACATTGTGGAGAGCCATTTTTAAATGAGCTTTAATAAGGCGTTTCAGAATGCTGAAAGCAGCCTCCAAAAAAGCTATGGGCCACAATTCGACCATCTGTAGGAATCAGGGAATCATGTGACTTACGGCCTAATACATCACTGCTCATTGGAAAAACCTTTTTCTATCACTCTCACATTTTGGCTTTAGCGATATTCAAATTTTTCCACCACGTCCAAGCATAAAGCTCTTTTTGCGATATTTGGGTGTTTTGACGAATTTTGGGCTTTTTCCATTAAGGCTCTTTCTGGCGCATTTTCAAAATTCGCAAAAAAACAGTAGATGGAAAAGCTGCTTATGTGGCTAACAATGCATGGAAGACAGTAAAGCATGAAATCTAACATTTCCATATTTGCATTTTTATTAAAACTACACTAGAAAGAAGGGATGCACTGAATTCAAAAGTGTATATTATTTCCACATGAATAAAATGTATTACATCAACACAATTATTGCCAAAAGTAAGGAAATTGTGCTGATGAAATGCATTTTATTCATGTGCAAAATGATGTACACATTTAAATCAAGTAAATTCAAAGTGTTACATATTCAAAGCATTCAATTTAGTGCATGCTTTATGATTTTACTTAATGTAGAGGAGCTATGATGTCAAAATGATTATATTAGTGAGCATCTGTTTCACTAAGCAGACAGTGTATTCAGAGTATTGCTTACCTCAATACACAAGCAGCTAGGCTCTCCTTTCTCTGTCACTGTGCACTCTCTCCCTGCACCGCAGAATACGTTAGCACACACCTTCGACTTGCTCTGAGTGTCCTGTGAGAGAACCACACACACATATAGAAACATTAGGTCTTAAAAGAGAGATGTGAGATCAAATACATATACAATGAGTTCAAAGTTTATCAGAAACACTAAAAGTCAGAGATCACCCTTTACTTATTTATTTCCAAGCCAAAACTACTGTTTGTCTGACGGGGACAGTTCTGGTGGTCTACCATGTCTTGCACGGTTGGTAGGAGTCCCATTTTCTCTCTATGTTTTATTAATTTTTTGAACTACATTTTTGGAAAACTTCTGCTTTTTCACTTATTTTCTTCTGACTTTCCTCTTCCTTGTTCAAGTGGATTATCTTATATCTAATCTCCTCAGAAATATTTCCTGGAAATATGAATAACTTGTACTCTCAACTTACAAGGTGTACCAACAAGGCAGGGGTTTCAATGACCTGTAAGAGTACATACAAATCAAAGGAGCCATCAGGAAAGTGTGCTACAATTACACCCAGTCATCACTAGATGGAGTTATTACACTGTCAGGGTAATAAAGAGATTAAGCAGGTGGTTTGTGTGTCTTGCACATGTGTATAAAGAGACTCCTAAGAGCCTCAGGCCTCAGGATGTGCAGGTTTTCCACACCTGATTTGACTAATTAGGTTTCTTCTTTATTAAGCAGGAGAACTGGTTAGTGAAAACAAGTCAGGAGATGAAGTCTAAGCACTGTGGTTTTCATTATGCATCAAATTAGTTTTCTTTATAGCACCAAGGAATTCTAAACAGGCAGCTAAACAAATGTCAGGCTATCTCTAAATATCCTTAAGGTCATTGGTTCCCTCAGGTTCGGAGACTCTGTGAACTGCACATTATAGTGTTTTCCCTGATTTAATACAGCTGAGTCAACTCATCAACTCTCTCAGCTAATTACTAAGCCCTTAATGAGCTGGGTCAGGTGTGTTAGAGCAGAGAATAGCAAAAAAGATATGCAGAGCATCAGCCCACAAAAGACTGGAACTGCGAACTACTGCTGTAAGCTCTCACTGGTCACTGCGTTTTTAAATCAGGCATGTTCAGTGTATTAAAGTAATGAGACGGAAGAGGCCGCACGCTACGCTCTGCCTAAGGACACCCCTGACCTGTGGTAAAATAACTAACACACATCAAGTGGTTTATTGCTTTTATAGAATGGCAACACCCTGAAATATGATAAAATACACAATTTTCCATGGATAATTTAAGTTATGATTAATGATAATCGCATTCAACTTTTTCCACCACTAAAACTGATTGTAGTTCATTTAGCATAGGCTGTTGCCAAGCAACTATACAGACTGCTGAAGGAAGACAACAATTTAGCCAACAACTGATTTTTTTTTTTTTGATAATAATAATAACTCCTTATTATAGTGGTGTTTAATGCAGAAAACTTCACCTTATAAGTAGTTTTTGCTCACCAAATTGCCACTACAATGAAAATTCATCAATGAAAAATCACTTCTATTAGCACCCTAATGAAATTTCCTGTGCTGTGTTACCATCAAGCTAAAAGCACCACACTTTTGTTTTCCCACACTGGGTTTAAAATTAAAATTTAAATAGATCTAACAGAATATACATTTAAAGTATTCAAGCAACATACTGTTTACTTCATTCTAAATACTTCAATACAAGGCCTCATGCTGAATATGAATGGAGGAGTGGTTGGCCTGTTAGCTATCTCTGCCTACTTAGCCTCCTATCTTTTTGCCTAGTTGTTAAGAAAATAAGTTGTGAGCCCCTCAATTGAAACAAAAATGGGATCTTACTTCATCTGCACATCTATTTGCAATACACATGGTGGTCCATGCGACCACAATCCAATCTATTAACAGCACAATGGTTTCTAGTGACTAGGTTGTAAATTGCATTGTTCTGAGTGTATACAGATGTCCATATATTGAGTATTTCACAATGGCTTTATACACCAATCAGATTTTTAGACTGGAGGTATCCATTCATTTCAGGCTACATCCAAAACTATACACTACCATAATAAATAGTGGGTCAAAATAGTGCACCACCATTCAAAGTCCATTCATTTGTATAGTATAGTATGCTGTTTTGGTCACAGCCTGGCTTCACACTTAGGAGACCTAAAAGTAGCCCCGAACCACCTAAGTAGCCTCTAATCACTAATTTTGGCTTGATATCTCTATTGAATTACACCAAAAGGTCTCTAAACCACAGGAAACACACACATACACATATTGTGTCATATGGTGTCTGGGGAGAGGAGATAGATATCTGTCTCTAAATATGGCAGAACCCTCTCCGCTCCCCATGAACTCCCATAAGGCCGCCTGCCTCTCGTTACCCTGACAACAAGATGTTCTCGGTGAAAAAGAGGGCGAGCGTGGAGTGGAACACACTCCCCTCCTGTTCCATAATAAATGGCACTCCTCTGGGGGACAAAAGCCATAAAATGTGCTCAAACCCACACAGCATGTCCGACCCTCCAACTGGAGCAAATGAGCTAGCCAAGCAAAGAGGAAGAGTTTCCAAAAACGCAAGAAAGGGCCCCCCAAAGCAAAGGACAGTTACCAATGCAGAGGAAATGACTGACATCCAGAAAATGAGCTCAGCTGCAAGAAATAATGAGAGATAGGAAAGAGGAACCATACCGGCACAGAATTAGAGCAAGAGCCAGGTCTGACTCTGTGATGTTCGTTTTTTGTACTTGGGACTTTTACTTGAGTTTAAATGGGAAAACCTAAATTTCCTTCCTTGAGTTTGAGGTAGTATGTAAGGCCCTCTGATTTTCTCAAACATGTTTAATCTTTACAGCTTAAAGCATTCACAAGTCCTTTAGTGCAATGATGTAACTGAACAAGTGATTCATGAAACAGCCAAAAAGAGACTAAGGAGAGAGAGAAAAGACAAAGAGAGACGTGTGTACTCTGTTGTGTAAACAGTGGTCTGGGAGACAGAGGAGCTGCTTGTTGAGTTCAGAGTAAATCACTCTCTTTAAAATTTCAGGTCAGCAGCCAGTTCATAGTAAAGTATTTCTCCAGCTCTGATTACAATATCTGCGTTTCAACCTCAACCCCAGTTTGTGTTTTCGCTAGACTTCTTGTGCATGTAGAAAAAAGCAGAAACAGGTCCGGTCTGGTTTAGCTTTGTGTCACATGATACCGGGCTCTGCGACTCAGAGTGCTTTTCATAGCCAAAACTTGTTATGTGTGTTCTACCCTCTTTTGGCCTTATCGTCTAGTTGTGGGTCCTCACGTCAAAATAACAGAGAATTCTGTTAAAAATGGCCGTTCAGTGTGTGATACCATCTTTTAAATCCGTTAGTGTAGTGCAGTGGGGGCCCAGCTTTACTGGAGTGGAAGATGTGAGGTAAAGGATTAAACCTTGTGCTGCTCCTGGCTGTCTGGATGTAAATGTATGACTGCAGCCTTTCAAAGGATCCACACATCCACAACAGTGACTGAGGGTCACTCTTCTATTCTTATTAGCCTGTTTTACCCTGAGATGCACTGCAGTCCCCAGCATGCACTGCAACATAGTGTGCGTTCTGACCCAACAACAACAATCTGTGGGTCAGCGGTTACACAAAAAGAAAAGATGCCTGGTGTCTAGTTCAAGCAAATAGGCAGTTTTAAAAGGCAGTTTATTTTAAAACAATTTGTTTTTATTTTGAATTATTTTTAAATAAGCATTCAATGCCTATTTTGCAGTTTTGGCATATTTTGAATAAACAATGACCCGTTCGGGTCATGGCAAAGTGTTAAGTAAAAATGAAATAAAAACACAGCTGACCTACGGATTTGCTGAGATTTTTTAATATGGCCCTTTTAGTGGTTGAGTTTGATTTAGGATTTCAGTCCAGACTAAACAGTTTATTTCACATTTCGGCACTGACTGATTTTTGAAAGAGGCAAAATACAGTGAAGCCAATCAGCACAGAGGTCTTCAAGGGACAGCAACAAAAAAACAGCTTTGGATAATTCTAAGGGATAAAAAAGGTTCCAAAATGGTCACAGACATAAAACCACACATACATTATAAGTGGACTGATACTGATATAAGTGGACTGATACAAGAAATACAAGAAAAATATAGAGAGGAGTGAAGAAGTCATTCTCCACATAATACTAAATCATGTCTATTTGAGGGCAGTCTCACACTGTGCCTTTTTCAGCGTGGGCTGAAAACCACTTGTAAAACCTCACCCCCCCCTTCCTCTCTGAAACTTTTTCCTTTCTGAATAGTGCGATTAGTCAGAAGCGTCTGTGAAATTGACACACATTGGGGCAAAGTTTCACCCAAAAATATGACAGCGAGAGTTTCATTTTAAACACTCTCTCACTGTATGACACACACGCCAAATTCAAATATGCACTACTGTTCAAAAGTTTGGAATCAGTGTTTTTCTTATTGCACGAGGTGCCAATATTCAAACACTGAAATCACTGTTACATTTCTTTGTGGGAGGACAGAGAAAATACACAGGCGTGGCCAAACATGATGGTTTTGCACGTATTTGTGAGTATGTATGTTATGTTATACTTTGCACACGAGTGCCTTGGGTTAAACGCATTTCCAAGGATCCGTTGCTAAGAATGTGGCTGCAATGAAGCCAACTTATTGACTTTGTTGCTAGATTTAGTGACTTTTCAGACGCCTTTAGCGACACATTTAGTGACTTATTGGACAAACCGCTTTCCACAGAAGAGAGTGGCCAGTGCTGCCCTGCAAGAGAGAGTCACACCCCTCTCTTGGAAAATGCTTAGAAGTGACTACTGGTTAACATGTAGTCTCAATGGGCTGTGTTTCAGTATTTCATACGTATTTCATATGTAAATGAGAACAGCTTTATTGGGAATTCGGCTGTATTAAAATACAGAGTATCTGAGCACAGAGAGTAGGAGAGAAGCAAAAGGCTGACACCTTCTGACACTGGGCAGAATGTAAATACACCACAATGACGTCAATAATGTGCTAATTAGCGCATGATATCAAGCAACATTTAGCAAATTTTTCAAACAGGCTTCAGCC